TTGACAGAGTCATCAAGGTGACATTCAGTTTTTTCCCTCTCTGTACCTGACCTCGTTTGCTAACAAAAAAATTTTCAAGACTTGGATGACTATCAAATTTTGTCAATGACTACTTTGTGTGTTTAATATTTAAGAGTACTTTTCAGATGAAAGTGATGGTTCTTTTCTGTTTGAGAATTATGATGCTGCTCTTTGTTTATGTGTTATTGATCTCACTCTGACTTTGCTTTTGCAGTTCAAGTACAAAGAAGTTTATGAACACATCAAGGCAAACGGGTACACACTTGGACCCAATGACGTTCCATTTGTCAATGTCCGGAGAGTCAATAATGTCACCAGTGAGGTACTGTGCATTCTAATTTTGTGAGGGAATTATTGAGCTTCAAAGACCATGGCTTTGTTTGAAGTGCATTAAGAATTTATTTTTAATTTAACTGTAAATTTGCACATCAGCAAGGATTAAAAGGGTCCTTTTTGTCACCATTTTTATGCTGATATACTTTGGCAAAGTTTTTCTACACCTGGTAATGCCATTGAAAACTCAGTTCCAATATAATGCAAATTAATTCCTTCTTTTGATATTTGCTTTCAAAAATCTTTATAACATTACATTTTAGCCTGACTCTTGACCCTGCTTTCTACATTATTTATATACCTAATCCTACTGCTCAGCTATCTAATAGAAAGTGAAAGACTTTGTGCTCAAAATTCTTCAGCTAAAAAAAAAATCTTTTTCTCCTTTTTCCCAATCTTAATTGCTTTCTGTATCTTTAATCTCTCTTCTTATGGCTCTTTATGTCAAGTATTTATAGCCAATTAGTCAATAGATGTCCTGTCAATGCTGCACTAAACACCTGGAATGGCTTTTCCTTCAATTTAGAGATTGTATCGAGAGTTATACCACAAACTGAAAGACAAGATTCACACAACTCCAGACACACCTGAAATCCGCCAAGTCAAGAAGACACAAGAGGCTGTCAGTGAGGTGGGTATTTTTTAGGAGAAAAGACAGGCCATGGAACCCAGAGATAAATTCAATCATTTTGTCTCTAATAATATGTGTTTCTGGACTTTTCTTAGTTGATCTACAAATCAGACTTCTTCAAGATGCAGGGCCACATGATCTCACTACCATATACACCGCAAGTGATCCATTGTCGCTACGTGGGAGACATCACCAGTGATGTAAGCATACATGGGGTCTTTCTGAAAGACTCTTACCAAGAGGCAGGCTTCCAATAGGAAGCATTTAAGTCAGCTGGTAGTCTGCAAATAGCCTTTTCTTTTGAGTACTTCTAAACAATTTGGAAGTAAATAGTGTGGCAGTAGAACCCCACATTTCTCCAGCTATGGAAATGCTAAAAGGACCACTAGGAAATACAAGAAGTGCTGAGCATACCATCATTTCACATTCAACACTGAATCATTATCAGCTCCTCCCTCTTAGTGACTTTGTTCCAGGTCACATTTAGTGTTTTCCCTGATCATCCCTAATCCCTCGCCATTTAACAACATCCTGTTGTCATTTGTTTTTCTCTTTGGATGTTTCCTTCTTCTAAAAGACGACTACCTTCAATCTATGCTAGTAGAGTATACTACTACACTAACAATATAGTAGTCTTCACATCTCAGCTCAGGTTTAGAGATTTAAATTTAAAAAAACCCATTATTTATTTATGTGCAAGTAAAGTAAAAGTAAAAGGTAGACATTTTGAACCAAAATGAAGGCTGCATCAATAAAGAAGCTTGACTGAACTGTCTTTTTGTTCCTGATTTACATTTTCCATGTCCATCAATATTTCTGGTTCTGCCACACAGATTAAATACAAAGAGGATTTGCAGATCCTGAAAGGACTGGGCTGCTTCCTGTATGATACTCCAGACATGGTCCGTTCCCGGCACCTGCGAAAGCTCTGGGTGAGAGCACATCTTCATAACAGTCACTACTCTACACACCTTCCACACACCCTAGCACAACCTCAAGGAGCTGGGCAGTAGGAATCTTTGCCTGCAGCTACTTTTAAGGGGTATTTATCCTTAACCTACTTGATAAGTCATGACCCATTTAAGCTGATCTGTACCTTCTATGAAAGAGGGTGAGCTGAATTAAATGACAATTGTTTTTGTTCCTGCCTGGGATGATATCCAGAATACACAGGGGACTTGCTCCATTCACACATGCTAGCTATTTGAATGACAAATGTATGACCATGACATGCAATTGCTGAAGTGATTAATCTACTTGCATTTTAATTGTCGTTTCTTTAAGTCTAATTACCTGTATACTGATAAAGCAAGGAAGATGCGTGACAAGTACCAAGTGGTCCTTGATACTCCAGAATATAGAAAAGTGCAGGAACTAAAGACACATCTAAGTGAGGTAAGGATACTTAACCTGTCACTAAAGGGACTTGAGGCTGTTTGTGGATGAAATAAAAGAACTGTGAAAATAGGAGAATTGAAGGTATGAAGGAGAAGGACAAAGTCACTGGAACAGGATCCAGAGTGGCAGGTGCAATGGAAACGAGCACCCAGTAGGAAGCTTGAATCTTACCTTTTATTTTGGTATAAGGGGGGAAAAGAAAAGGAGGGCTAAAGAGGTAAATAAATCATTGGTTTATTGGATTGAAACTGAGATTGTTCCAGAGGGAGGGTTCCTGATTTTTCTATGAAATAAACAATAAAGACATCAGGGCAGAGAACAAAACATGTCAATAAAGCAACGTGATAACAATGACTGCTTTCTGTCCAGCTGGTGTACAGAGCAGCAGGCAAGAAGCAGAAGTCCGTCTTCACTTCAGTTCCTGATACTCCTGATCTTCTAAGAGCCAAGCGAGGGCAGAAGCTTCAGAGTCAGGTAGATCCATAAATGAAGATTGGTAAACCTGTCAGGCTGGCATCACAGGGGCAGTTGTGTGTGTCTGATCACCTAGTTGTCCTTTATACAACCTCGTGCCCATTTACTTCAAGAAGCAGGTTTTTGGGGACCCCTAATAACTATGGTCATGTTTTAGAGGAACAGGTAATGTCATGCCTTCTTTTCTAAGTACTATACAACTTTTTTCATTGACGTGTAGTCTGTGGAGTCCAGGTAGTAAAAATAATCACTTGATTCATTCCATGGGACCTATTTTCCACAAATAAATGAAACCATATTTCATGCATTCAGGCAAAAATTGGGAGAAAAACATGCTGAGGGCTCTATCAGAATTCCCTCATTCTTCTATCAGTGTTCTTTCTCCATGGATTTAGATTGAACCACATTCATCAGTAAGAATATTAAATAACTGGAGTGCATATATGTTTTCAAAGATGAGCCACAGGGAGAAACAAATGATAAGAAACACGTGTGACAAAAACCCCAGAATAAATGGGCACCACCCTCCTATTTAAGGGTTAGAAATGAATGAAGATTAAACACCAGAATATAATGCATTGCCTCTGTAACATCTGATCCCTATTCTCCAATTATTAGTATCTGTATGTTGAACTTGCCACCAAAGAGAGACCCCATCATCATGCTGGAAACCAGACCACAGCTTTGCAGCACGCTAAAGATGTGAAGGACATGGTCAGCGAGGTAAACTGGGGATTCAGCACCAAAGCACTAGGTTAAAAAAAAATTCCTTCTTTCAAATCTCTACCTGCTGCATCTGATCAGGGATGCAGGGCTACATATTGTGCCCAGCAGCAGCAAAACAGAGCAGGCTTACTGAGCATGATACATTGTGTCCTTTGGCTGGGTCTATGGTTGTGAATTGAGAAGGATGGTTGTGAATTGAGAAGGATGATTTAAGTGTGATGATTTAAGTCTCTCCCTTCTTTCTTATTTCTTAGAAAAAGTACAAGATTCAGTATGAAAAGATGAAAGACAAGTACACTCCGGTTCCAGATACACCAATCCTCATCAGAGCCAAGAAAGCTTACTGGAATGCTAGTGATGTATGCATCCCTTCCTTCTTTCTTCTGTTGTGATAGAGAAAGCTGTAATTGAAATACCTAAGAAGCAGAAGGTGTTGCAGACATTATAATGATATTCATAGTTTAAAGTCCTGGGCTACAACAAAAGCAAAAAAATTAAAAAAACACTGTGGGGGGATTAGGGAGGGGTGGGGAGAGAAAGAACTAGAGTCAAAATAAGGGGGGGTGCAATTGTATGGGGACTATAACCAAAATGAAAATGCATACATTGTACAAAGATGAAAAATGATGTAAGAATTATATAAAATAAAATGTTTAAAAACAAAACAAACCTACAAACCGTATGAGTTAGGCAAAATATCTAAAAATAATGCTGAGAGATGCTGAAAGCCTATTGTTTTTGTCATTGCTCTTCTGGGCAAAAATATGAGGCTTTCTTGTAATTCATTAATATCTTTCCCTGCATATTTGATATCTAATTGTTACTTATCCATAAAATCATGGTCTTGGAGTCAGTCAAACATGGTTTCAAACCCTTATGTTGTGACTTGCCTCCTATATATATATAACCATATATAATTTCCCTGAGACTGTTCTCTTACATATGGGGTAGAGATAAGAATTTTGATCATTATGTTAGACTAAACAAGGTCATGTACATAACATTCCTAGCATGGTGTGCCGGGGTCCTAATTGATACTCAGGAAATGTTTGTTTGCTTTCTTTTCTCAATCATCTAAATCATGAAAATGACGCATTTGTTAAACTGGGATGGACAGACTTTCATTTTCTATACCCCATAATCAAAGATAAGACTGCTTTTAATTGTAATGAGTTTATCTGTTAATGAAGACGTGGCATTAATCAATCCAGGGTTGATGGCCAGTCCTTCGTCTCCAAGCCCAACTGTGAATGCATCATACCCATTACCAGAACCAGAATTTTTGGAAGAATTGTTGGAACTTAAAGCTAGACCAAAACTCAAGCACCTTGTAACCCTTCAACATAGCAACACAGCCCTAGGATATCAAGGCATCTTAAAAGGCATCATACTGATCTTTAAACAGACGAATTGAAGGGATACAGCAAATTGGCACAATATCTCAGTTCTATAATTTCATCCAAAATTTTTGTTTGGAGCTGAGGTGAAAGGTGGAAAGAGGAAAGGCAATGTGCTTAAATAGAAGCTAAGAAAATGATACACAGCCTGCAAAATCTTATCTCCTATGTTATGTTTAGACTTTTTATTATATCCCATGTTTATTGCTTAAAGACTGCTGCTGAGTATTGCTGGAAGTCAACCTCCTTTGTATCATCACTGTTTGGTGTAGCCACTCAATGAAATTGGTCCCCAGGCTCATTGTGCCCCACTGGATAGTCCTATTCCTAGAGTTTCATCAATACTGATAACTCTAAACTTTGAAACAGTTCAGTGTGATATTCCATTGTTTATATATACCATATCTTGATCCACTCTTCTGTTTCAGGGCACTTAGGTTGTTTCCATAATTTACTGATGGATCAAAAAAGATAAACTCATGCCATTGGCAGCAACAGGGATGGAGCTGGAAGGGATAATGCTAAGTGAAATAAGTCGAAATGAGAAAGATAAATATTGGATGCTGTCACTAATTTGTGGAAAATAGAGAAACCGAATGAAGGGCCAAGTAAAGACAAGAATAAAAACTAACCCTTGAAAGTTGATTACAGAAGTGAAACATCCAGAGCTAGGAGAGGGAGGGAGGGGTAAGAACAAAGAGGGGAAAAGCACAATGGACTATGGTGGTGGACTATGGGTGGTTGGTAGTGGGTGTACTGTCCAGCAATATCTGATAGAGGGATCCAAATACTACATCAGTTAAAAATAAATAAATAGAATTTAAAATAAAAATACAGCAGTAGTAGCTGGCAAGGGTAGTATCTGGCATTAAGTTTAGCTTATCTACCTTGGCTATCCCCACAAATAGAGCTAAATGCTTTTAGGAGATTAACCATCTGAAAAACAAACTTCAAGTCAAAGAAAAGTCATCTTTCGTTGTGTATTTGCTCAGCGGCTCAAAAAGAAATATTTGTCAGCTATTCAGAGAAGTACCATCTTGTTAGAGTGAATGAATTTTCTCTGATATTCATAGGTTAAAGGCAGAGGCTGTTGTCCCTTAAAAAACCACAAAGATAAAGATTATAATGAGAAAAATGTCAGGACTTTCCTGAAGATGGAATTTTAACACCAGAAGTTAGAACCTCTGTCTTTTTCTTCTTTCCATGTATATTAATGAGTCTTGGGCTCAGCAAAGTTGTGTTTGGTATTTATTTTCTCCTCCCAAATAAACTTTTTGTTTGTTTTCCATTTAAACAAACTTTTTAAGTAGTTTTAGATTTACAGAAAAGTTGCAAAGATAGTACAGAGTTCCCATTTGCCCAGTTTCCTTTGTTGTTATCACCTTGCATTGCAATTATACATCTGTCACAAGCAATGAACCATTACATTATTATTATAAACTGCATTATAAACTGCATGCTTTATTCATATTTCATAGACTTTCTCTTAATGACCTTTCTCACTTCCAGGATGTGAAATAATCTTTTTAATTTCTTCTAAAGAGCCCTTAGACTAAAGAGATTAAAACCTAACACAGATAGCTCAAGAGAGTTCAAGCTTAAAAGAGTGCAGTTATTTAACTTGATAGTTTTTCATAATCCATGTGCTTTTTCTCCTTCTAGCTCCGCTACAAAGAAACATTCCAAAAAAACAAAGGGAAATACCACACCGTGAAGGATGCCTTGGACATTGTCTACCATCGTAAAGTCACAGACGACATCAGTAAAGTCAGTTCCTATATTTAGTGTTAGGCTTAATAACCCAACAGCATTTTTTTTAATGTTCCTTTCCTAAAATTCTCTGTAGACAAGTAGAGTTTTATGTATAAACTTCGGTGTGACTTTATAGCTGTCTTTGTGGTTTTAACTACAGGTCAAATACAAGGAGAACTACATGAGTCAGTTGGGAATCTGGAGGTCCATTCCTGATCGCCCAGAACATTTCCACCATCGGGCAGTTACTGATGCAGTCAGTGATGTGAGTCTTAAAATCTTTTTTACATATAAATTCATGTTTTCCTATGACTTCTGATATAAAATATGGCATAAAAACAAATTAAATACTTGGTTAGAGTTTAAATCTCGTGTATGGATGTTTAAATCATAAAACTCATTGTCAGATGAATGAACTTCAACTTGGAAAGAGAGAAAAATATTAAATTTATAAATCTAATGTTTTCTCTAGATGTGTGATATCATATTACAGTCTGGAAGTGATATACTCTATCTAGGTAATAACCTATTTTTGATTAGTTGGAAAGACTACTTCATGAAGCAAATAAGACATATAACAATGCTCATTTAGACAGAATTTTTTCTTTATATGAAAATCTTGTCACCAAACTTATGATCTATTCTCTAGAAAAGTATACCTGTTTAATTTGAATTGCTTTAATTAGTGTTGAAATGAAAATTTCTGTATACCATTCAATACACTAAAAAGTGAACAGAAATCAGTATTACTGGAAACTTCTCTTAAATAATTGCTGTAATACTTTATCATTCCATACACTTCATCTGTCAGTGCTTCTATTTGTTCTACTTGTATTAGTCCTAACCTACTGCTATTTGGAAATCTCTGATGATGTTCTAATCCCAGGTGAAATATAAAGAAGATCTGACCTGGCTTAAAGGCATTGGTTGCTATGCCTATGATACTCCTGACTTCACTCTGGCTGAAAAGAACAAGACTCTCTACAGCAAGGTATATCTACTCAAGGAAAATGGGTATATCCATTCAACATATTCCAGTGCCCACAGAGATACTCAGCATTGAAAAAGTAACCTTTCATATTTTCATCCATAACATTTCTTCTAGATCCTATAGAATACATTGTTCACTATCCTTAGGAATTTTTTGGTACTGACCTTATTGATTATAGTCAATTGTTTGAATTTGATGAAAAGTCATCTCAATGCAACTCCTCATGCCTCTTCTAGAGTTCCCTCCATATTAATATGCCTCTGGATGATTTATGCTATTAAGAGTTATATGGTAGCAATTACTAAGTGGGATTATTGTAATTGACAAATTCGGTGTGTGACATGAGGCAAATAACTTTTTTCTATTGGCCCCATTCTCCTACTTACAAAATAAAGAATTTGGATTAAGTTTTTTTAAGTTTAAATAGGCAGCAAATTTTCTAAAAAGTGTTAGATAGTAATTATTTTAGACTTCATAGGCCATATTCATTCTGTAACATATTCTTTATTTGTTGCAATCCCTTCAAGTTATTAAAAGAATACATTCTTAGTTCATGAGCCATTTAAAAACAGGTGATAAGCTAGGTTGATCATAGTTAGCCAACCACAGCTCTAAAATATTATTATTTAATAGATACTGAAAAACTACATTCAAGTTACTGGACCAAAATAGGCCTTCAAGACCACATGGCAATACCTTCAAGATAAAGTGATGGTTATTATAATATAAAGAAAGAAAGAAGAAATTAATTTGGATTTTTGCCCATTATATAAAATATATCTATAGATATCTATTCAATGAAATTACTTGCTAGTATATATTTTTGGGGTAGTTTGGGGTAGTTTTCAAGGGTCTACCCTTCATTGCCTTGGGAGACAAAGCAAGGACCCAGCACATACTTGTTAGCTGAATGAATGAATGATTGCAATTGTATGATAAGGTAAGTGACATGTCTTTTAAGATAATCACACCTGCTATCAAGTAACTATGTTCTATTCTCTCTAGTATAAATATAAAGAGGTATTTGAAAGGACGAAGTCAGATTTCAAGTACGTTGCTGATTGTCCAATCAATCAGCATTTCAAGTATGCAACTCAGTTGATGAATGAGGTATGTATGATTTGATCCAACTATCAATATATTCAGTTCTCTTTACACATCCATAGTTATCTGATTAAACCCCAGTGCATAAAATGATAAGAAAGACATTCTAAGTATTAATTCAAAGGAAAGATTTATGAAGACTTTAATAATATCACCACAGTGGATTTTACCAAAAACATGAATAAGAACAAGTAAAGGAACAGTTCAGAGTGGTGTGCAGCCCCATGGCCATCATTGTCTGTGCTTGCACTGGCTTTGGCCACACTGTCCTTTGGGTAATGAGAACCAGGAGGGAAAGGATTTTGTTGACTATCAACTGAACTCCCTTATACTTGATATTGTGTAGAGCTAGGAGACCAGAATTCAAGATTAATTTAGTATCCTCTAGTAAGGGCCAGAAATAGCAGTGATTGGAATAGTCTTCATTTAGGGGATAATTGTGATTCATGCATTCAAATTTGTTATAAATGTTACTCATATACTGGTGCAGAGAAGTATCCACTTGAACCTGAAATGTTTCTTTGTTTTCTGCCCAGTCTTTCCTGGAGCTGTCTTTGCAATGATTTAAGTTAAAATTGTCTTAAAATAACTGAAATAAGTAAGCTATGAATTTACTTACATTTAGATAATCTTATATTTAATTTCCTAACTTTGGATTTTATACAGATTAATATTAATTCAAAAACAATGTGAAAATGAGTAAAATATATCTAAAATTGAAGATTATTCAAAGATGTATTTTTTGACTTCACAAATAAGTTGTTGGTTCAAAATTTGATTTAGTTCATTTTCAGTAAACTTCCAGATTGGATGACTCCAAAAAGTTACTTTCAGTAGCTTCCTAGGAAGCTACTGATTATAATCAGTAGCTTTTTTATAATCAAATAAATTAACTAGCATTGGAAGACTAGTGGATCATGCTTTTTGATCTCACAGCCATAGAGAGTAAACCTGCAATTCATCTGTATCTTATTTACAATATAAGATGCCATAAAATCTAACCTTGCTAATGGACTCATGTGAAGATGGAAACAGGTATTCCAATTTTGGGGTCATACATAGATTTTTCCCAAGCCCCACTTTTCTCCAGGTGATCTTCATTGCTTGACTCTCTGCCTCCCTGTTTCTATTACCCTGGATGTTTTGGGAGTCCACTTCTAGAAATGACATATTTCTGTCTCTGGAGTATTTATTTTGGGACATTTCTGTCTAGCTTTGAAGTTGTGTTATTGCTATAATTTGATATGATGTTTGAGCAGAAAAAATACAGAGCTGATTATGAGCAGCGGAAAGATAAATACCAGCTGGTAGTCGATGAGCCTAGACATCTGCTGGCTAAGACGGCAGGCGACCAGATCAGCCAGGTACTATGCTGGGGCCGGCTGGATGACCCAGCAGGATGTGTTCCCATTTCTCCTGAGATGTCGTCACGTCTGCTGCAAGGATGTCATAGGTTCTGCCTATGATATTGGGATGTTCTGTTTCAAAGTATCTGTCTAGCCACCCAAAGAGCCCATGAGCTATTTGAGTGTGCCAGTTCATGCTCTGTGTCCTCACATGTGCTGTGGTGAAGACGAAAGGGAAAACACCCTTTTTCCTTTGGGAGGGCCTGTTTGTAAGCTGCAAATTAAGTTGCAGAAGCAAAAACAGAGAAGAATTTAATAGACAGAATGAAGGCAGATCCCTTACCATATTCCTCTACTGCTGGGATGTTTTCTTTTCTATAAGGCAATTCTGGTAGAAACATAAGTGAGTAACTATTCCCCATTCACAAGAACTTTGGTCTGACCCAGGTATTACAGCCATTCTATTTGGCATTATAACATATTTGGTGTCTTCATCTACTTGTATGTGTGGGGACATAAAGTGTGTGTGCCTACATCTCTTCACTCAGAGGTGATGAGGATATAGAGCCATGTTCTTTTCTGTCTTCATAAGTCTCTTTTGTGCTTCACTGCTCTTTGCATGGACAGAGAAAATATAAATCTAGTGCCAAGATGCTTCTGAAACAAGGATGTAATGAAATTCTGCGTCCAGATATGTTGACTGCCCTCTACAACACATACATGTGGAGCCAGGTAATGTCTGCTGTACTGTGAAGAAGAGGTTTAGAAGCCCTGGAAGCATTCACCTTTATGCTTCCTATGCTTTCCTTGATTTTCTCCCCCTGCCCCTGCCCATGCTGGTTTCACATGATAAAGTTGGATTCATTCCTTCTGAAAGAACTCTGGATGTGGCCAAGTGTCATGATACAGTTGCCATCATCTGTATGTCATCTGGTACCTTTGGAATGCCTAGTGAGATGGCCTGAGACTTTTTCAAAACATATATATTTTAATACCTGCTCCGAAGAAATAAATTCCTTAGATTTCATAGCAACTGAGGATATTAAGTAGATTCAACATTTAAAAGGTCATTTAATATTTAAATTTAGTATGTCCCAGTTCAGTGATTACTACAATTGTGCCATTTCAGAGAGAGTAGGATTACAGTGTAGCTTCTGAATATTGTACATATTCTTGGCCCTTCTTGAGTTCGATGCTAAATTTGCTAGCACATTGGTCCTTACATATACATTTGCCAACAAGGTTACTGACAACATTGTCTTCCTACAAGTCCAGCTGAAACACCCACTCCCACCTTTCCATCACATGCTGAAAGGTAAAGTGGAAGCAAGGAAAAACAGTAATAATTGCTAGATGCAATGTTAATAAAATGTCATTGGCCCCACAAAAATTTTTAAATCAATCTTTTATACTAGCAACTTGCTTTATCACCTAACTTTAACATTAAATCAACACGTGAAATGAGGGGGGATAAAGTTTCCCTATGAACATCCAGTTCATAGGGAACTGGAGAAAAGTTTGCCTGAACTTTTTTCTTTCCTTGATATGATCATCAAATACTATGCATGAAATTGTGCTTCTATCTGTAGCTGTACTGCTTGACATAGCTTTTGTGGATGAAAAAAATAATTACTTGGAAACTGCAAGAATGAGTGCATGTTTGAATGATAAAATGATTGTGTTTTTTAAATGATATTTTGTATCATTTAAATGATCATTATCACACTTAATTTTTATTTTATCTTTATTTCATCTTTGATATGAAAACATACCTTAAGAGAACATGTATATTAAATGTATCATATTCTGAATAAATCATTACTTGTCAGTGTTCATAGAAAAAGTGTCTGGGGGCCTCCCTGGTGGCACAGGCAGTTGAGTGCAGTGCTGTGAAGCTGTCTGTAGCCTCTGCAGTGCTGGTTCGATCCCCCCCAGCCAATGAGACACCCACATGGCGAGTAGAGCTCTCCTGTCTCTCCCGCTGCTCCTCTCAGCAGTGTATTTTGGTCGGTCTGCTTATTCTGTTCCCCACTCTGTCTCTGGTGAATCCTCTCACCCTCCTGCACATCTGGCTTGTACCCCAGTTCTTGTATAAATAAATAAATCTTTAAAAAGAAAAAGTGTCTGGAGCTGGTCCCAGCTAAGATTCATTCTATATGTGGCCTGAGCTTAGTCTGTTAACCTCTCTGGGCTTCATTTTCCATGAATACAAAATACACTGGAAAATATAACTTTAATCAGTATTATTTGCATCATCATCATTATTATTTTTGCTCACTCCATTACACTGTTGCTACCAAACAGCAATCCAGTGAGGATTAGAAGATAACAAACACACCATCCCCCACCTCTGTAGTTTATGTGATAATTCCACCGTTTGCTGTGGGACTATCACAAGAGGAAAATTAGATTCTTTAAAATCCTTTATTCTACTTCCTTGAATTAACTTGTTCTTCTCTCCCACAACTTAGATCAGGTACAGGAAAAAATATGAAAAAACAAAGGACAAATTTACCTCAGTTGTGGATACTCCAGAACACCTTCGTACTACAAAAGTCAACAAGCAAATCAGCGATGTAAGCATGACAAAGTCTGAATGGATTCTCAAACTTGGGGGGGCTTTATAAAAGTGGAGGGGGCAATTTAACTGTCACAATGTCTGAAAGACTCTACTGCCATTTAATGGGAAGGAGGCAGGAATATGAAAAGTCCTCCTATGCTCTGGACTCCTCTTTTACAATAAAGAATTGCCCCTACCAAATTGGCAAATGCAGTATTTGGGAGAAATTGGGCCTTAATGGGAAGCATCTAAGCACCTGCTGAGTTTGTGGCATTCTCTTTCTTTTCTATAGATTAAAAAAAAAACTCTGTATTTTAATTTTCACATTGTAAATTGTGCATTGTAACACACAGCATTGTCTCTTTCTGCTTTTTCATCTCCTTTAGATACTTTATAAATTGGAATACAACAAGGCCAAACCCAGAGGCTACACCACAATTCATGACACTCCCATGTTGTTGCATGTCCGCAAAGTCAAAGATGAAGTCAGTGATGTAAGTATGGAATGCCTTTGGTGCTCTTTCTTCTTGGCTTCTTTCTAATGCGATGGTACAAACCCTGGTCTAGTTATATATTCCTGTGTAACAACCACCCTAAAACTTAGTGGCATACAACATAATCATCTTTTTTTTCCTTGTTATTCTGTGAGTTGACTGAGCACAGCAAAATGGAATTTTTACTCCATGTGCTCTCAGTGGGCAGCCAAGACCCAGGTGGGCTGGGATGTTTAGGATGGCTCAGTCACATAGCTGGTGGCAGCTGTGGACTGGGAACTCTGCTATTATATAGACTGGATATCCCTATGTGGCCTTTCTGCATGGTTTGAATATCTTCTAATATAGAGGTTGGGTTCTCAGAGGCAAGAATAGAAGTTTCCAGAACAGTTAATGGCTTCGAGAACTGACAGTTATTTAGCCACATTCTATTGGGCACAGCACACACCCATATTCTAGAGATAAAGAGATCAAAGTCATATCTGAATGGACAGATAGCAAGGTCACATTGCAGAAAATCCTGTGGGTGGGAGATATTGTTGAGGCCGTTTTGAAAAATGTGCTATAAATGCTAGCAATACTCTATAAACTTTATCTTGACTAAGAGGAGCACGGTATATTCTAAATCTCAGAATTGGACAAGATACTGTAATCATGAATTTTCACATATATAGCTGGTTCTGTGATAGAAAACTATCATTTTAGGTTGGATAAACAGTTTCATATTTTAAAGAACTCCAAGACTACATGTACAACAGAAATAATAATAAAAATAACTATGAAATGACTCATCCCCACCCCAAAGACTTGCCTTATGGCCTGGAATTTTTTGCCTATGCTCAGAAACTCTTTGGTCAATGAACATATATATTTATACCGTTGACCCTGAGTTACCATGAAAAATGTGAAATATATTCAATGCTCTATGAAGGCAGAAATGTGTGAACCTTTGTTCATATTTTTCATGTTCAAATAAATTATGATTCTTGGGCCTCCCCTGGTGGCGCAGGTGGTTGAGCGCTACGCTGTAAAGCTATCTGCAGCCTCTGCAGCGCCGGTTCAATCCTGGCCCGCCAGCGAGGGTCCCACATGGCGCGGCAGACCTCTCCGTCATGCCCACTGCTCCTCTCAACAGTGTATTTCATCAGTCTGCCTGTTCTGTTCCCCACTCTGTCTCTGGTGAATCCTCTCATCCTTCCGCGCATCTGGCCTGTACCCCAGTTCTTGTATAAATAAATAAATAAATCTTTAAAAAAATAATAAAAAAATAAATTATGATTCTTCAAACATGAACATTCTATATTCATAGACATCTTCTATGGAGAGTCCTCATGTGGAGAAGCCTGTTTCTTCTCAGAGTAGGAAAAAAAAGAATTTTAGCATCTATTTTCCCAAATATTCTGATTGTACCAAAAAATATTGATGAAAATATTGATAAAAAATAAAGATTTCTAGACCTTTCCCCTGGAAATACTGATTTATTTGATCTATGGTGAAATAGGAAATTATGATTCTTATGACCAAGCAAATTTATCAATACTAGTATGGCTTCTTTAGAATAGTTTTACTTAGAACTTAACTACATTTGGGAAGCAAATATTGTTTGAAAATGAACAATAATGTAAAAAAAATTAATATATAAAAAATAAAATTTTAAAAATTATGTTAATATGTTACCTAAATTGAAATTATTAATAAAAACATAGGCTAACACAATCTTTTTATAATTAACAAAAAGAACTTAATCACATTAAAACCTAGCATCGTTCAATAATGATTAGCAAGAAGGCCCAAATGGGGGCCTGGAATTAAATGTAGCAAAAGTGGGTGAAACTAGAAATCTCAGGCGAGGATTGGGAAAGTACCTGTCAGTCTGCAGTGGCTGGGCCTTTCCTGTCCCTCCCACCTGCACCCAAACCACATGTACCCAAATTTGCTCGATGTAGCACTAGCCAGGATGACAGTGCTAATTGCGTGTATCCTTTTGTTCTTTCACCAAATAATTATGGGTTCTATGTGCCTGTCTCTAGGAATTAGATGATGAATGATACACAGTTGTTGCCCACTAAGAGTTCAGTTTAATTAAAGAATATATAGATATGCAAATAATTACAACATGACATGATAATAGCTAGAATAGTGAAGGCTTACAAGGAAGGCAAGACTAGTTCCATCTGGGTGAACTTGTGCAATTGGGGAATGTTTTCAAGATGTTCTGAACTCAGGATCTTCTGATTTGGGGAAGAGAAAACACACCTGGATAGCTTTCCAGCTGACCCTTTCAGCACAAGTTCAGGTGACATAAATGCTAGGGGACAGTAGTAAACCTGCTCAATGTAACCTGGGGGAGCTGGTTTTAAGATCTAAGAACAAAAAGTACATGGTTGCCTCCTTTCTCCACAACAGATCTATTCTGTCTTAAGAAGCAGTGTAGGGCCTCCCTGGTGGTGCAAGGGATTAAGATACAACCTTTGAAGCTCTCTGCAGCCACTGCAGCACAAGTTCGATCCCCAGACAGGGAGCTACCCACATGGCACAGCAGACGTCTCCTGACTCATTCATTGCTCCCCTCAGTAGTGTATTTCAGTAGATCTGCCTGTTCTGCTCCCCACCCTGTCTCTGGTGAATCCTCTCACCCCCCACACCTCTGGCCTGTACCCCAGTTCTTTTATGCATAAATAAATAAATCTTTAAAAAAAAAAGTAGTGTATACTATACTCATGGTTTTATTTTTTGTTTTGTTTTGTTTTTTAAAATGCATAGTAGGCAGCTGTAAAAAAAATAACCTTATCACTATGTTCCCTCACACAGCTGAAATACAAAGAGGTTTACCAAAGAAATAAGTCCAACTGCACCATTGAGGCAGATGCTGTTCATATCAAAGCAGCCAAAGATGCCTACAAAGTCAATACCAATGTAAGTGCTGGAAACTTTCCTAAGCCTAGTTGGGAATTTTTAAGCTTCTTTGGGTACAAGAATTCTTTTTTTTTTTTTTCATCTCTTCTGTTGAGGTTCTTCCCAGTGACACACAATCTAAGTTATACATACTTCTCGCCTCAGATTTAGCACACGGCAGCCAGTCCTCTAGCGCAGATGTACATCTAGTAAGTGCAGAGGACCTATGAGGCCAGATTTGAATCCTTAAGATCTAAGAACAAAAAGTACATGGTTGCCTCCTTTCTCCACAACAGATCTATTCTGTCTTAAGAAGCAGTGTAGGGCCTCCCTGGTGGTGCAAGGGATTAAGATACAACCTTTGAAGCTCTCTGCAGCCACTGCAGCACAAGTTCGATCCCCAGACAGGGAGCTACCCACATGGCACAGCAGACGTCTCCTGACTCATTCATTGCTCCCCTCAGTAGTGGGTTTGAATCCTGGGTTTGAATCCCATCTCCACCGTTACTAGCTCTTTCATGTTGGGCAAGTTATTTAACACTTCTGGGCAGTTCCTCTGCCTTCCATTCATGCAGTTGTTAGGAAGATTAGATAAGTTAATATTTATAAAGCACTTAAAAATACCTGGCACTGTATAAATATAAGTGTTTGATAATTTAAAAAAAACATAAATCTGAATTAAGCTAGAAATTAAAAGTACTTGCCTATGGAAATCCTTAAGCTATTAAATATACTGGCAGAGTTTGAAGAATCATTTCACCTCCAGTCTTTAGAAATTATGGTCCCTGTAATGAGACCAAAAGGTTCTACTAGATGCCCACTTGAGTGGCTGCCTAACTGCATACATTGTACAGAAATTTTAATTGGTGTTCTCTCTTGTGTAAGAAGCCATGATTTGTTGAATGTTAGCATGTATGAGGTGTTTCTCTGTGCCACATGTGTGGTTTTGAATTCAGTCTATTGAATGAAGTGTTTTATTTTCTTCTTATTAAAAACAGCTGGACTACAAGAAGCAGTATGAAGCCAACAAAGCCTACTGGAGGTGGATCCCTGACCGGCCAGACTTCATCCAGGCTGCCAAGTCATCCCTGCAGCAAAGCGATGTGAGATAGAAAAGGCAGATGGAACTGCTTGACATATCTGAGATAGGGAAAAATCAATAATTATGCATAATAATCATAGTCACAGATTTTAACCCTAGCTTATTTGAGATCCAAGAAGGATGGGAGGGTTGTGAGGAGCAGAGGGCCACCTGGTCACAGAACCTGGTCTCTGAGGGCTGGACCCAGGCAGACAATTCAGAATCGTGAGCTAGGCTGGGAGGAAGAGGGAATGAGCAGTCTGGGAAGATCTGGTCCTGGTTAGGGGTGTGCAATGGAGGAGCCCAACACACAGTGAGGGTCTGGAAAGCCCCTTCCCCCATTCTGGTGACAAGTCCTCTTAGCGCTGTAAGAGGAGGATTCCTTAGAAGCTTAGTCAAGGACTGACCTTCTCCAGGGCCTGTCTCCCTTTTCATCTTTTTCTGCCTTTATTCTGTTACAGTTTGAATATAAGCTGGACAGAGAGTTCCTCAAGGGTTGCAAGCTTTCTGTCACTGATGATAAAGATATGGTGCTGGCTCTGAGGAATTCCTTAATAGAAAGTGATGTAAGTATCCAGTCCCTTCCTCAAGGTCCAGCCTCACCCAGGGCCATCTTCTGCAGCACTGTCCCCAGGAACCACCAGGAATGGACAGACGGGGGCTGCTACAGTAGAGGCTTGGGGTGGGTCCTGGAATATGACCCTGTTCCCCAGTGAACCCCAGTGATATGGTAGTGCAGGGTGGCAGCATTAGGAAACTATTACATCCAGATGACCATTCATGATTTATTCTGCACCACAAGATAATTTTCGCAATAAGAATTAGGAAGTCCTGGCTGGATTCTACAAAGGAACTTCATTTTTTTACCAGATCATTTTCTTCCTATGCTTCAGTTTCTTCATCTATGAAGGAGGAATATTAATATCTCCTGGGGTTTGGGAGAGGCTGAAACAGCATAGTTGAAAGTGCTTTGAACCAAGGTATATGTACAAAAAGTCATTGTGAGATCCATTTTAACTGTTATTGAAGGAAGACTCAACCTACAAGAGATAAAATCCCTTTTGTATATTTTCCAAGATTTCCAACATCAAATATTTTATTGAGCTTCATATTCCTACTGTGTCAATGATGCTCATCTCCCAGCTCTGTCTGGTGACTTGGGACTTGATAAAAATATACAGGAGACAAAGAGGAACTAAAGAAATACTCTTCTCACCTCTGCAGTTGAAATACAAAGAGAAACATGTCAAGGAAAGAGGAACCTGTCATGCTGTGCCTGACACCCCTCAAATCCTTCTGGCAAAGACCGTCAGTAATATGGTGTCTGAGGTAACCCTCCAGCAACCCATATGCTCTGCTTACATCTTGGACTCATGTCCCAGGCAGACATGCTAACTCTAACTATGAATTCCCTCAGAACAAGTACAAGGACTATGTCAAGAAGCACTTGGCCCAGGGCTCATACACAACACTACCGGAGACCCGGGACACTGTTCATGTCAAGAAAGTGACCAAGAACGTCAGTGATGTGAGTGATCAGCCCCAGGACTCTAAGTGGCAGTAATGCCACTACCCTGTAAACTACCCTTTGACTTACAAATGCTTTCCTTTACCTTCTATATATATATGTGAATTTTGAACTCTTTTTTGAAAGAGACTCAATATTTATTGACTGCCCAATAGGACAACTATGGCAAGTGTGGGTCTTGCCCCTGACATGTTATGCAATTACTAACCTGGTGTTACTAAGGGGAGGAAGCATTGCTGATTGAGAGTGGCCAGCCCTGTCATTAAACTGCTAAACAATCTTAGAGAAGTAAAATTGCCTCTTTATACCTCAGGAATCTCTGCCCACTTTACTCCAGTCAATATTGCTTTAATAAAGATGCCTTTATATTTTACAAAACCTATATGGGTCCATAGGTTTGTAAAAGGTAGAAATGGTGAATGAAATAGTTTAATTTTCTCACAGTTGACTCTGCAAAAATTACCCTGTAGTTTCAGTGTTGGACAGAGAGCTTTGTCCCATGCAGATGTTAAAGTGGGCAGGTGTGGTTTTTATCAGAGCTCTTCTCATAAACCTTCAAGCAAAACAATTCTGCTCCCAACCTCCTCTGTTCACATAAACAATTCTGGCTTTGTTTAGACAAATTACAAAAAGAAGTTTGTCAAAGAGAAAGGGAAATCCAACTATTCCATCATGCTGGAACCCCCAGATGTGAAACATGCTATGGAAGTGGCCAAGAAGCAGAGCAATGTAAGTGCCCCCTCTGGATACTTTCACAAGCCCACCTGAGCCAGTGGAGTTTGTTAGGTTGGTTCCAGTGAATGGACCCCCTAATTTCTATATGTAGTAGTTTAAAAAGAAAATATGGTGATGGAACTGGTTTGGTTTTAATAAAATGATTCCTTGTACCTAATAAGGACTTTTGGAAAGATAGCATCTCTCTCAAGTAAGAACATTTTTTTTTCTCCAAATAAAGGTTGCTTATAAAAAAGACGCCAAAGAAAACCTGCATTACACCACAGTGGCCGATCGACCAGACATCAAGAAGGCCACGCAGGCGGCCAAACAGGCCAGCGAGGTGAGGCTGTTGTGAAAATATATCAGGTCCCAAGCGGTCACTGCCAACAAGTTATACAAATCACTACCTATACTGTATCATCCATTTTGCTTCTCTTTGATTCAGGTGGAGTACAGAGCTAAGCACCGCAAGGAAGGCAGCCATGGGCTAAGCATGCTTGGTCGCCCAGACATTGAAATGGCCAAGAAAGCAGCCAAGCTGAGCAGCCAGGTAATGCAGATGGAAAAGCAGCAACTCTCATGTAAAACTGCTTGCAGCAATAGTGACTCCCAAAATGAATATGCAACTTGGATAGCCCTGCAGAACTTTGAAAAGTTGTATCATGAAATTTGTGCTGAGAATCTTCTTTATTATTTCCCTCTAACATCTCTAGGCCTTTCTCATTCTCCACTTTTCCATTTATGGATATATGACTAAGTTTTGGGGTGTTTAATTATCTTCATGTGACAAAAACATCAACTTGTCAGGTCCTACTGAAACCTTTCCCCAGGCAGTAAGAATTACACCTCAAGGGACTGATTCACACTTGAGTCACCTGTGGGAACTTGCTAACATACAGGTGTCAAGATTCTAACTTCTAGAACCTAAGCAGATGCAGTCACCTTTATTATTTTATTCCAATGTTGACCACCTGACATAGGAACTAGGAGTGAGCAGATGTCCTCAGGCTCTGTGTGTGTGTATGTGTTTGTATGCATATAAAACTGATACATTTTGCATGATTATCTTTCATACCTCTGAGTAATATAAAAATAAGCAAGGCAAATACTGTCTCTTGACCTTATTTTTGATTGCCTGTTGTCTAAAAATAATTGTTAACGATGTTCCCCTTTACTCTTAAAAGTGTTTTAGTTTAGGTAATATATGATCAGTTCCTGTATATTCCTTTGCATTTTTATTTGCTCCATTCTTCAGTCCTCAAATTAGTGGATGTTCAGGAATAATTTGCATTTTTGCTCTTACTCTTAGGTTCAATACAGACAAAATTTCAACAAAGAGAAGGGCAAAACACCAAAGTACAATCCTAAAGACAGCCAGCTCTACAAAGTCATGCAAGATGCTAATAATCTTGCCAGCGAGGTACTTTTTTTGTAAACTGTGGTAAAATACATGGCATGAAATTTTCTGTTTTAATTGCTTTTATGTGTGGACTCAGTGGTATAAAATACGCTCACAATATTTTCCAACTATTATCATCATTTCTAAAATAATTCATCACTGTGAACAAAAACTCTAATTGTTGAGCAGTATTTATCCATTTCCCCTTGGTCTCAGTCCCTGGTAATCTCTAACTTACTTCTTATCTCTATGAATTTGCCTATTAGAGAATGCATGTAATTGGGATCATACAATATTTGTCCATTTTTGGCTTGTTTCACTTAGCATAATGTTTTCAAGGCTCATCCTTACAGCTTACATATGTTCTCATGACTGAGTTATATTTCATTGTATGTATATACCACATTTTGTTTTCATTCATCTGTTGAAGGACATGTGCGTTGTTTTCACTTTGTGGCTACCATAAATGAGATTTGGTTGTTCATCACAATCGCTAACATTTTTTTCAGGATGGACTATTTTACTATGGTTTCTGTTGGTCCTTTTTCTATTTCCATGATTTCTTTTTCCCCCCTTAACTTGTAGGTTAAATATAAGGCTGACCTGAAGAAACTTCACAAACCTGTGACTGATATGAAAGAATCTCTGATAATGAATCATGTCCTGAGTACAAGCCAACTTGCCAGTTCTGTAAGCTCAAAGCATTTGCTGCAGGCAACAGCTTGTTTCACCCAATAGCAGCTAACTTCCTTCTCTCTGAGCTTACATGCATCTCCTCCTCTGTCATTGAGACACTAGATTGGTCAGAAAGCTCATATCTCGTTTGAGTTCAATTTTTCCAACTTACAAAAGTAATTCAAGCAGTTCTCCATTGACTATAGCACCAATCAGAATATTAAAATGCTTCTATTTTTTAATATTTAAACTACCCCTCCCCCAATTAGCCAATCCTTTTTCTCCCTCTAACAACACAGAAGTGTTGTTTGAAATAGTTTCTTTCAATTTTAAGTTTTCACTTTTAATATCTATTTTGAATAGTCATATTAAGTGTCACATCCTGACAATGCAGAACTTGAATCCTCATCCTTTCAAACTTTTCCTACCCCTTATTTAATGTTTGCTAATTTTGCTTTTCCCTTGATAATGCTGCTGTGTAAATAGCTAGTCTACAGAGGATAAAGAAGCTGAGAAGCTTTTTCATCAACATGTGCTTTTTACCTCCTTCCCCTCAGTACCAGTATAAGAAGAACTATGAGAAGAGTAAAGGCCACTACCACACAATACCAGATAACCTGGAGCAGCTTCACCTGAAAGAGGCCACAGAAATACAGAGCTTAGTAAGTTCATAAAGACTGACATTTTTCCTCATGCACATTCTCCCACCAGATCAAAAACTTTAATAGTTTCAAACTATCCATGCTACCCAGAATAGTTAGGATTTTAGTAACCATTAGTTAAGAAAATGCCCACAGATAAAAAAGGTTTGAATTCAGTACCACTTGAAGCAAATTTTTTTTGTTATAAATCATAGCTGCATTGACATGTATTGGGTAAATAGTGCATGTATGTGCAATACGTGTTATCTGGGGGACTGAAAGCATACGGATTATGCTACAAGTGGGTCAAGTCCCTTATAATAAACCTGATGTGCCCCCCCATGAGTCTGTACCCAGGTTAGGAAACACAATGGATGATAGGAGCCTTAGGAAGATTTTAAGAAAGAAATAATATGATCAGATCACCTTTTAAGTAGTCTCTGGGTATTTAAGAAGTGGCAAAATTTAAAAAATAATTAAGATTCTTAGCAGAAAAACCCAAAGAAGGAGTTTGCTATTGTATGACTTCCTGTATCACAAATTCAGCATTATTTAGATTATCCATTGGGCATTAAACAAGAGAACTAGAGGCCTCCCTTGTGGTGCAAGGGGTTAAGACTAACCTATGAAGCTGTCCGCAGCCACTGCAGCATGAGTTCGATCCCCAGCCAAGGAGCTACCCACATGGCTCAGCAGACCTCTCCTGACTCGACTGCTGCTCCCCTCAGCAGTGTATTTAAGTTGATCTGCCTGTTTTATTCCCCACTCTGTCTCTGATGAATCCTCTGGCCTGTACCCCAGTTCTTGTATGCATAAATAAATAAATCTTACTAAAAAAAAAATATTTAAAAAAATAAACCAGAGAACTAAATTACTAGAATGTCTTCGTGTCATCTGCAAAGTGGCAGGTGCCCCGCAGGTTGTCTACTCTGAAGTCGTGTTACCAGCAAGACAGCTGTGACTGAGCATTGCCTTTAGATGCTGAGAGAACAAAGGCCTCTGCCTCTCTTTCAATTTCTCATCTATAAAATATGAATCCCTAACAATTCCCCCCAATACTACCACATGTTATTATCCTAACAGATTGTATTTATACAGTAGCCTTGGGAGGGAGCTTTTGAGAACATCAGGTTTGTTAGTTGGGCTATTAACAGGTAAACTCATTTTCATTCTATGCCAGTTTACGCTGACTGCATTAAATGTGTAACCAGTTATAACCCATATAGATTAATTGACTTAAACATGTGTAAAGACCCCTGGTCTCTTGTAACAGTTCTTATGAAAGAAAAACTGGAGGGGTTTTTTGTTGTTTTATTGGAAACATTGACTTATGGTCTGGTTAAAATATTCACATCTACACAAACAAATCTCAGTGTGGATGATTTTCCCCATGCATTTTTTGTACAGTATTTCTCTCAACTGATTCTATGCAGTGAACCTATTGTCTCTTTGAATTAAACACAAATCCTGACTCTGCATTATGGGCACTAATGGTGGTTTCCCCCTAGGCAACAGCAAAATGGTACTGGATCTGAAATACAACAGGGAACTATTTTGAGCGATAAAGAAATGTCACCTAAATGTACATAATGTATAGATTTAAATAATCTACCCTAAAATTATCTCTGCTACAAATTGAGCAAAGTTGCGATAACTAACAAGGCTTTTCATCATTAGGTGAAATACAAAGAAAAATATGAAAAGGAACGAGGAAAACCCATGTTGGATTTTGAAACTCCAACATACCTTACTGCCAAAGAGTCTCAGCAGATGCAAAGTGGGGTAAGTTCTGCAAAAACACACCACACAATAAACATACCATCAAACTAATGAAAACAAACACTGCCCCAAAACATAGCCATCCTTCTGTTATCCAAAAGTGATAGATAATGGTGGATTCTTTAACGTGTGTTGGTCAAAATTGTTTCTATCTCAGAAATCCTGTGGTTCAGTTACAAAAAAAAGTTCAAAATAGGATTTACCATATGTTTCATCTTGCTTATCAGTTTCATAGAATTACAGTATAGCAAACTGTTCCTAGCACAAATCAAATTGTATAGAAAAGTGTTTAAATTTTTCTTTGATGAATTAAAAGTTCCTTCCACAAAGATGCATCATTGGCATTGGATTCCTCTTCTCTTAATAGGAAGCTCCAAGCCAAACAAAGGAGATTAGTGATGAGAATACTTATCAAAATTCAAGATACCATGTTTCCTATTTTAGTCATGCAAGCAAAGACATCTAAAATATTTATTTATTTTAACCAATAGTGGAGAAAAAATAAAATCTTGTTTTGCATCTTAGGAATTGGGCACGAGGCATTTTGGATTCATTTTATTCCCTCTCTATGGGACATAGATATATGGCATTTAATTAAAGTAGCAGTTGCTGGTCTATAGAATCCCGAATAACTAAAAGTTTAAAATAATTGTAATTTGGGGGTAAATTTTTAATTAAATTCTATAAAATTAAAATTTGCATAAAGAGTTTTGACACCTATACTTTGCCTCCCTCTGAAATATTTACTTCAGTGATTGAGAGGAGGTAGGGCTTGTTGTGGCCCTTTCCCTTAGAAGTGTATAAATAGTTAGGATTTCTCTGTGCCTCACTGACTACTATTCAGTGATTAAACATAATAGTTCCTCATTATGGAAAAGGCCAAATTTGTATTTGGTGCCCTCAGGCTTACCCTAATTAGGTTGTTTCTTTCTCTTGAGTCACTTTTATTCCAGAGGTAGAATCTTTAATTGCCTTAAAACAAAAGCCATTTGGAGAGAGGACAATGGATTTACAGTTTTGGTGGCACATCGTTTCTCCTGCCTGCTCCAGTCACAATACAAGGCAGATGATTAGGGATCCATTAAAGTTTCTCAATCTCCAAGTTTCCTCTGGGCCATTTGCTCTAAACAAATTATTTCCAGAACAAACAGACAAGTTCAACTCTGTGACCATGAGGCAGAACTATGATCAAGTTGAAAAGTCATGCATAGAAAATATTGGGATTATTTTTCCCTAGTATTGAGAAATAAAGTATAATAAAGATTATTTTTTAACTTGTCTATTCTTCTTACATTAGAAAGAATATAGGAAAGACTATGAAGAGTCCATTAAAGGCAGAAACCTGACTGGTCTGGAGGTTACACCAGCTCTGCTGCATGTCAAATATGCAACCAAAATAGCCAGCGAGGTAATGCCCTCTTAATCTCTTCTTTCCCTCTTGATCCAAATAACTGCACTAAATGACTTTCACCAGTGTATTCCTCTGCCATTTTCATCACCACCTAACCTAAAGGGTTTCAGGTTGGGTTCCCATGTGTTTGTTACCACTACCTAATCTGTCACCCATGTTAATTCTTCTAATTTTTAAAATTGAATACCTAATAAAATGTGCTATCCTAGCATTCTATTAACTTCTGCTTTTTAATTTGATATTTAATATTAACTGATGAAACTCGTACCCTGCCCTTATTCATATTTTTATATACTAAGCTGTAAGTGTTTAAAATTAGAAGGATTTTATTTTTGCCTTTTCACTAAGATTACAATCCAGACTGTCTTGTCAGTACTGTTGTTTTTTATTTTGTGACATAGAAAGAGTACAGGAAAGATTTAGAGGAAAGCATCCGTGGGAAGGGTCTCACTGAAATGGAAGATACACCTGACATGTTAAGAGCAAAGAATGCCACTCAAATCCTCAATGAGGTAGGTCCATAGCTGACAGCATGCACTTAATTAACATGCACTTAACTAATCTTCACTTTTTGGGCCAAATTATACATACAGAAAACAATCAGAGAAGTGATAAAAAGATTTTTCTAAATCTAAATTCCATATCTAATAGTCCATGATTATTAACCATTAAATAAACTATATCTCAATTTCTGATGGGTTACTATTATAAAAAGTCTATATTTGTAATGCTAATCATGGTCTGTTATTTGTTTAATATTATTTGATTTAAACTAGATACTTTAAGTGTGTTCATTTAAATAAAAACGTGCACTGGAGAGGTGTGCACCTTTGTACAATCCTAGTTATATGCCAAATGTGATTTAAATTTTGCTTCTTTAATTTTCTAAGCAGAGAATGTTAAAAGGAAGTCTTGTGTTGATTCATGTTGATGTGAGTGGAATAATTTTCTAAAGTGGACTTCTACATTTATCACTCCATCCTTTGACATGGAATGATAAAGGTGGACACTAGCAAGGGAGGTGGCATGCTCTGTGGATTTATATTCACTCTCTACATTTCTTAGCTAATAATGGTAGTAAGGGAACTTTTTTGTCTTTATTAAATTTATTTATCAATTCATTGTTCGTTTTTGTACAGTATTTGATTTTTCTCCTCAGGTTATAGTCCCTGTAGAGGTAACTTTTTTTTTTTAATTGCTACTACAGAAAGAATATAAGAGAGATCTGGAGCTGGAAGTCAAAGGAAAAGGCCTGAATACCATGGCCAATGAAACTCCTGACTTTCTGAGGGCCAGGAATGCTACTGATATTGCCAGTCAGGTCAGTGTTACTATTCCCCATCAATCTTAAAAAAAAAAAAAAAGTAGTTGTGATTATAAGAGTACAATGTTGTCGTTCTACTGTTACTGGTTGGTCAATGACAGTCAAATTTATATAGTGGTATTCTTAAACAGCTACCTCATGGAATTCATTTCTATGAAAAGAACCCTTCACCAGGTCTGCTTCCATCTTTTTTCTGAGTCTAAAGGTACAGGAGCCATTCAGAGCAAAGGGAAGAAAGTTGGGAGACTCACTAGCTCCTTGGAGCTGGGGCAGACTCTGGCATCCTGGCGTTGTTTCAAGGTCAACACACTCACTTGGCACCAAGAATTCCTTGCTTAAACTATTGTGGGAGTTCTTTCTTTCCATCCTTTCAAGGCATAAGTTAGAAACACTTTTTAGATATCCTACATTGCTAAAGACTGATTGGTACTTTTGCTTACTTGTACTTCTGTCAGCTCTTATGTAAATAATTGATGACTTATTATCTGTCATCTCTCTCTGCTTTTCCCTTTCTACCCTTCTCCTCATCCCTATGACCAGCTAGATAGGAAGTTTTTCAGCATCTAGGACTCAGCCTTTCTTTCTGAATATTCTTCCTTAATGTAAAAACTATACGCACAATAAGAAAATAAATGCCTGATGCATGTGAAATGAATGAATTATTTCAGAAAAGGAATATTATTTACCTCTTAATCAAACCAAGCCAACAAATGTGACACTGTAAATATTCACCCAACAATTTGGCGTACTTTTGCAGATTAAGTACAAGCAATCAGCAGAACTGGAAAAAGCCAATTTCACTTCTGTGGTTGATACTCCGGAAATAATTCATGCTCAACAAGTCAAGAACCTTTCAAGCCAGGTGAGGACATTCATCAAAATATCTCTCACAGACCCCAATCATGAAGAACAAAAATCTTTCCATTAATATCTAAGGATATTCTTTCAAATCATAATTTTACCAATAAAAGAAAAGGGATTCATCTATGATGCAAGTTTGATTTCAGAGTTGAAATTTAATTCTGTATCAGAATTAAAATAGATTACAAGAGAGAATTTTAAGTGTCTGAAGAACTCTTACATGGTCCCACCCATAATTGATGAACCATTATTTTAACATGTAAAGTATTTTATGATGTGTGAAATTTGTGTACATTTGGACTCTGAAAGAAACAAAGCAGATAGCTCACGTTTAGATTATCCCTTTCTTTAACAAGATTGAGATTATCTAATGAACATGAACAACCATACAATCTAACCCTAATTCTTCCAGTGAGGGATAATGCTCCATCCCCTACAAACAGAAAAATGAAGTAGGATTTTCTTCATATATGAGGGTGTATCTTTATTTGGTTTTAATCTTCAATGATAACCAAGTAGTCTGCAATTTATTTGAGTAACCCCAAATTATAGAGTTTTGCTTGTCTTCCAATCAGTGAGCTCTAAAGCACTAGTTATCTGGTCTGGCTATGTTTTATAAACACCCTGTGTAGTGGCAGCACAGGGACAGAGCAGGTTTCTATGATCTGAGCAGACTGATAAAGGAGGAGTCCTGGAGCCCTTGGTGGGTTTCTCAGGTTTTTATTAAGCTTTTACGTGTAGTGCAGCAACCAGGTACAAGGCAGGCAGGGGTGCAGTGGGCCAGGAGGCCGTTAGGCCTCCAAGCCCCAGGCAAGTCTCCACTCTGGGCTTCTCTGGCTTCTTTTTCCCCTTCTCTCTCCTTCCTCTGCTTCTCTCCTGCTTCTGCTTTTCTTGGGGAATATCTCAATACTCCTCCCATAACCCACAGAAGTAAACAACACAACAATGTAACAACTGCAAGTGCCCCATCAGGCAGGGCAATCCTAATGGTGGGAGGGCAGAAAAGCCTGAAAACTATTTACCCTATACCCGGTAATGTAGATTTCCTGGTTACTCTCTGGAATTCTGAAGCTAGTAAGTCTTAGGTAAACTCTGGAAATTTGTTTGTTTTCAATCTTCCCAGATGATGTCTTAATGACCACTCATGTTGGGAGGATCATATATTTAAACCCTTTATTAACAACATATAATTTTATATTATAAAGTTAGACATGAAAATAGTTATACTAGATAGTGGTTTAATTAAGAAATAGAAATATTCAAATAGGATAAATGAATCTTTTATTTTGAGGGTAGGAAGTGGGGAAGAATTATATTACCAAAATCATATAGTCCCCCAAATACCATATTGTGTTCATTAGGATAGCCAGGAAAGACAATATTCTTTGGGTTGTGAGAGCCTCCCCAACCATATAATCTGTCTTTCAACATTGCTAATCTTTAAGGAAAATTTCAGAGTGCAGGCCTGTTCTGGAGATATTAAGTGCTTCCTCTGCTCTTGTTTTTTTCCCCTGCTAGCTCTTCAAGGCCTGAAAAATGTCCAGACAGCTTCCCAATTTATATCAGTACATCTTCACCTTTGAGTGATGCTTTTCACAAAACCACTTCTCTACTTTCAATGGGTAGTAGGTATTTTATAACTTCTTAATCTCATACTTACAGGTAAAGGCAAACAATGTAAACTGATCCACAAATTCAGCATAATCTACTAAATACTTAGTGCCAGGAGGACCGGGACTCTTTCTTCTTAGAATATCCCCGAGTTCCAAGTGCAAACTGATCACCTATCTTGATAATTAACTTGAGTTCTGCAAACCCATTAAGGTAGCTTTTGCTTAATCGCAAAATAATTAAAGGAAAAAGAAAAGGAGATTGGCCCTACCCTTTTTCCAGGAATTGTTTGTCTTATATTTGCATTACTAAGAAGAGTCATTCAGGTGACTTTCTTTTTGGCATTCAGCACTAGATAGATAAATAGATAGATAGATAGATAGATAGATAGATAGATAGATAGATAGATAGATAATTAGATAGATAGATTTAATTATATATAAATTTAATTAAGAGAACATTGGTTTATAATACTTTGAAATACAATACTTCTGAATATATGATTCAGAGATAATCATATATTATTACCCCACACCACACCACTCCATACCACACCCACTACCAAGGCACCCAGAATCCTCCACCATAGTTCAGTGACTTTCTCCTGAACAAAAACATTTGTTCCTAGTCAACTGCCCTTCCTTTTGGAAGTCATTGCTTTTATTTTTTTTAAGATTTATTTTATTTATGCATACAAGAGCTGAGGTGCAGTGGGTGAGAGGATTCACCAGAAACAGAGTGGGGAGAAGAACAGGAGGATTAACTGAAATACACTGCTGAGGGGAGCAGTGGGAGAGACAGGAGAGGTCTCCACCATGTGGTCAGGCCAACTACCTGGCCGAGGATCTAACTCCTCACGCTGCTGCTGATAGCTTGATAGTTCTGAGACTTAACCCCTTGTGCCACCAGGGAGGCCTCAAAAATCTTTGCTTTAACTGGCTTCTTATTAGATGTAAGAAAGCTAAACTGAAATTTCTAACTTGTTCAAGCTACTTCTCTGTTGTCTTTGAATTAAATGTCTCAACACTTATAAATGTAATTCATAAATAATGGTATTTATATAGGAACAGATAAGTAGAAAGAATAGTTCTAGCTCTACAAAAGTGACTAGTTTCTGCTCAGCCCTAGTCCTACACCCCCAAACTTCCCTAAATAAGGCTAGAGAGAAAAGTGAAAGGATTTGTGACAAGTGATTTAAAACAAACCAACAAACTCAGGCTCTCGGGCAGAGTAAGTGCTCTGCTGGAGAGATTTAGTTTAGTCGTGGGGACTGGTAGGGAAGGTGTCTGGGATAAGAGTAGCCCCTGTGGGCACACCTCTCTGGTGAAAGACTGGCTGAGGGTCCAGGATGGTTCAGTAAAGTCACCAGTGCCATAGTTCTGAATTCTGCAGAAGCTGCACTGTGTTCTTGAAGTGCCTCCTGAGCCTAACCACCTGCTCAGTCCTGTAGCCAGGAGTCCCCACCACCCCATCTCATCGCTCAACAAAAATGTACTTGTTACCAGCTGAGGCCAGCCTTCAGGAGGTCTTGTTAATGGCTCTTAACCCCCCTGCTTTTTTCCATCTACTTGTTGAATAGTCTAGCCTTTTATTTCACCACAGGCATCCCCATCTCCCTGCCAGGAACCATGCTGTTGGCTGTCACCTGCCTTATGGGACCAGCCAACCAACTTTGCCATGACAGTGGGTCCTACTAAATGTCCAGGCTCAGTTCTCCTGGAAAGAAAAAGGATGGCACTCAATGACAGTGAGGGGTCGGCTTTATAATTCCTTAACATTCTTAAAGTCAAGAAGATACAAAGGACTTTCTTGAGCCAATAGTGCTATTTTAGTCCTGTTGATTCATATACCTTTGTTGTTTACCATCCTTATATCTTGGAATCTATTCACAGAAAAAGTACAAGGAAGATGCGGAGAAGTCCATGTCATATTATGAGACAGTTTTGGATACTCCAGAAATGCAGAGAGTCCGGGAGAACCAGAAGAACTTCAGCCTTGTGAGTTTTTACTGAATCTAAGGCACAGCCAACCAGTAGTGGGATGAGGTGGGAAAATGGGGACACCTGGGGGTACATGCTTGAGTATCCCACCTGCAGTGGGGATATGGGCACTCCTCCAAAGCTCAAATATAAGCTCCATTCTTCTCTGGGCTTATCTCTTATTTCAACCCTATTCAGAGCATGAAAGATTTTTCTGTCACTTTGTTGGTGAATTTCTATTGAATATGATCTCTGACTATCTTCCATTAGTGGTAACATACAGCTTCTTCAAAATTAATCCTAGGGAAGAAATACATTTAAGAAACATTTAATATGGTATATTATAAGTTTTAGGATTTTTAGAAATTAGTTTATTTTCAAAATTCTTATTTGGTTATGAGGCCAAGACTATTGTGGCATAGACATTTTTTTTCAATATGGAATTTTAACTTCCATTACACAATATTGGCCAATTAAAAATATATAAAACAGGGGCCTCCCTGGTGGCACAAGAGGTTAAGACACAACCAGTGAAGCTCTCTGCAGCCACTGCAGCACGAGTTTGATCCCCAGCCAGAGAGCTACCCACATGGCGCAGCAGACCTCCTGAATCACCCGCTGCTCCCCTTAGCAGTGTATTTCAATCTGCCTGTTCTGTTCCCTCTCTGTCTCTGGTGGGTCCTCTCACCCCCCACATCTCTGGCCTGTACCCCAGCTCTTATATGCATAAATAAATAAATCTTAAAAATATATATATATAACAATGTTAAAATCTTAACAGGATGTTTACTCTTTATTCACAGCTCCAATATCAGTGTGATCTTAAAAACAGTAAAGGAAAAATTACAGTTGTCCAAGACACGCCAGAAATACTGCGTGTTAAAGAAAATCAAAAGAATTTCAGCTCGGTATATTTATTGTTTATATCCCACTTAACCCTGACCTAATCATTCTATTCTCCTCTTTAAAAATATGCTCGCCCTCACCTTGATTCAGATAATTAACATCTAGCCTCCCCAGTTAACATGAGTGATTATTTCTTAAAATTCTGCATACTTTGCTCTAAAATACCACCTTTTGAAATAACAACTTAAATCTGCTAACAAAGCAACTTTTCTTTCTTTTTATTTTTTTTTAAATCCCAGAGCTATAATATGTATTGTCTTGCTCCAAGAAGATGGATTTCTTTTTGACACTGTTATTTCTTTCATTATTGTTCCTCAAAGTAACTGACTGACTGCATTTCTTTAATGGATTTCTGGGTTTGATATGGAAAGGTTTTTTTAAATTAACATTTTCTGTATTTCTCACCCTCTATTAGTACAGTATGATAATCTTAAAAGAAAACTCCAGATCTGGACAATGATCCATGTTGCTTACTTAGTTTGAGTGGCTGATGCTGAGGATATCAGATACTCTTGACTTGCTTAAGAACATTCCCTAGTGTCTTCTATTTACACAGAGCCATGTTTCCTAGTCTTTTTCCAGGAATTGTTGAGTTTTCCTTTCTTCTGAGTAACACTGTTCTGATTCTGAATGTTCAGGTTTTATATAAAGAGGATGTCTCGCCAGGAACAGCACTTGGAAAGACACCAGAGATGATGAGAGTGAAGCAAACACAGGATCACATCAGCTCGGTAAATATTTTAGTGTTTTCTGCTTCCCCTTGACCATTTACTCTGAGGTCTGAACTGTATCTTAACTTGCTAAAACACCTGGCCCTGGTTAAGAGGATCTCAAAGTCCTAGGCCATACTGGGGCAGTTCTCATGAGGTGAGGTTACAGATGGAACCTGGAGAGGCATGTGTCTATGCAAAGAAGAGCTAGAGAATAAAGTGGTAAAAAAGAAAAACCAACAGATTTTATTCAGGACTTTTGCAATGTTGAGGAAAGGAAATTTTGGCATACAAATGAGCTCAATTCCCAATACAAAAAGGAGGAGAACTCATGGGTGGGTGAGAAGTGGGGGTGCAGACAGAGAGAAAGTCAGTGGATGGAAAAGTATTCAGAGCAAACCTCAGGAGCAAGGAGGGTTCTGACTAGAGACTGGCTGAGGTGATCAGACCCCACCTGGGGGTTGATGAAGGTGAGAAATTTGGTAAGCTCTCAAGAGTGATGAGATATCAAGGGTGAGGGACTCTGGCTAAACTGACTCAGCAGGATTTTTACTAAAGTTAGGCAATGCAAAGACATGGGAATCCATAATAAAGGCCTAGTTGGAAAGTAGATTCAGAGGAGCCTAACCAAAGATTGGTCAATGAGAGATTCTCTGACACTTGTAAGAAAATAGCTATGTTAGTGTCAAAGACTCCATCTTTCCGGTTGTATGTGAATACATCTGTCCAAGCTAATGGACTATGGGTGTCACAATTTTGGCAAACACAAGAAAGAGAAAGGGACATAGTCTAAGAATGAATTCCTGCCTTTACCCCACCCCAGACTGACAGGAGAAAGACCAAGTGTCCTTGTCCTTGACATTGTTCCTCTCATACCAAATATCAAATGAAGCCCCATTGACACTAAGTGTAAAGCCTGTGCTATTTAAGTTGCAAAAATTGCAGTAATACACACACACATACACTCATGGTGGGAAGAATAAGTATTAGCATACCTTTCATTTCCTAATTTTATATCTGCAGGTGAAGTATAAGGAAGCTATTGGACAAGGAACCCCAATCCCTGACCTGCCTGAAGTGAAACGTGTCAAGGAGACACAGAAGCACATCAGCTCGGTAGTGGCCCATATGTTCAGCATGTGTTTGTGCAACAACCCCCTCCCAATTGCTATGCCAACTCTATCTCACCCTTCCTTCCTCCTGCCAAGAGGTTCCATGACTTGGGGGTGGTGTGAATCCTCCTTTGGTCCTAAGAGAGGCACTAGGGTTGCATAAAATAGATAAGAAACTTCCTTCTTCACATAATCAAGGAGAGGTGGGACTTGGCTTCTTGCTTAGTCATCACACCTGCAGTTTCTCAAATAAAATGCGGCAACAGTTAGTAATAAGGTTTTGCAATGACCTATAGTTAGTTGACCAAAAGCATAAACATATAGACATATAAGTAATATAAAATGAATGTTTATATATACATAAGTATACACATATGCATGTGTCCATATTTTGGGCATTCTCCATTGTCCAGGAAGACACTAGGTGAACTTGGGAAGTTCTATGCAGTCTTCTCCCCTTCCTTTCAAGGTTTCTTGCCCTATATTCACTGTGCTCCCCTCATAAATGCAGAGTATAATTAAGGTTTAATATATCCTCCAAGGTAAATACCAGATTAAACACACATTTCTTCTGATCTTCTGCCTAGTTAGCCTTGCTCCCTGCAGTACACCTGTGCATGTATGTGTATGTGTGTGCGTGTGTGTGTACACACACACACACTTCCAACTATAAATAAAGCTTAAGTAATTTCTCACTACTAGCAAGAGACTATGTGAAGTTTAGGGAAGAGTTTATGACCAATGAAAGATGAAGACCTTGGTCTTAGAGATTCTCTTGGTAACTGTAAAACTGACAGACTCTAATAATTTCTATTAGAAAACACTTGATATTTATCTTACAAGTCATTTGTATTATTTAAATCTCTTTCCCTTCTCACTCCCTGCTTACTCTGACTTCCTTATGGAACAAACTTCATTTAGAGTTTTGTGTCCACTAATTCAGGAAAAGTGGTCCATACCTCATATGTTGCTTTTGATTGCAACTTCTTACATTTTTGTGTGATTTTGTTATGTTCTTCTACCCATGATTGTGCTGCCTTACTGGATTAAGAAACACAATTTTGTTCTAAGAAGGTAGATTTTAAAAGACTCCTGAAAGTTTCCTTACAAAACAAAGATATTAACAGGAGTCTGTCAGTGATTTTAGGAATTAATATGTGACACAAACCCCTGGGTACTTTGTACCTCCCACCCCCTGTTCTAGTACACAGTAGAATCCATCTGTTTAAAAAGAATTCCTGCATTTCCTTTGTGCTGAAAATTGTTGACATTAAGAGGAAAGGAGGAAGGGAAGGAAGCTAGAGATTTCAGAAATTCCTCACTTCATTAAGATGTCCTTTGATACTACCGCTAACAATAGGACTTCCCTAAACTCAAGAAAAGCAACAAAAAACACAAGATGTAGTTCACATTTCAGCAATCATCAGTTTGAGTGAAAGATACTCTTCCTGAAAAAATAAACCCTTTAAATCTACTCAGATTGAGGGTCCTCATGTTATAGAGCAGCCCCGATATAAAACCGGTTGCCTGGCTGTGGGTCCTCACCCACGTGCTTAAAAGGGATTTATTAATACTCCACTACAGGCACTCACAAAAGGTTAATAAAAGGTTTATTTACAAGGGAAAGGGAAATGAGGAAATGTACAATTCAGGGAGAAAATAGGGAAATAAAGTCTTTAATGCGTCCTACCTGATCCGCCGACCTGGAAACTCAAAGGCACTCTGAGAGCTGGCCAAGCGCTGAGAGCTGGCCGAGAGCCCCAAAGCCCACGTGTCTGGTTTCATACCAACCCTGGCTGCTTAACCCCACCCTCAGGTTCCAGCCACCTTCCCTTCTGTGGTGATGGGATTTGTCTTTCCCAATGTCCTGATGGCTTTGGTCTGGAGTGGGGTGGAGTCCACAAAGCCTGTATGGAATTAGCTTTAGGACATCCTTTTCCCCCTAACACTCACAGACTCAGGCCGGCTAGGAATTTTGGTTAGAAAATACAAAACAAAATCATTCTCAGAATAGACTGTTCATGTGATTAGAAATTTTTAAATCAAGCAACTTATTAAATATTAATCCAGGGAACTGTATTCAAGAAACTAATACCAGATATTATGAAATGGTTTAATTATTCTCATTGTTGAATTTATTACAACTATTTGATGCCTGTTAAGAATGTACTAAGTGTTGGCCATAGAAAATAATTTAGTAACCCGTTTTCAAGGTAGTAAATTACTACTTTTGAAAAGAAAACATAAATATTTGTCAAATTTCTTTTCCTTATTTCTTGAATGTTACATGTGAAAGCTAGATTATTTTTGAGTTCCTACCAAATAGCCCACAAGTAGTTGTAATCCATAGGATTGGTGGTCATTTTACCTTTTTGTATATTCTAATTATCTCCTACAGGTTATGTACAAAGAAAACTTGGGAACAGGCACCCCAACCCCTCTCACTCCAGAGATTGAACGAGTCAAACGCAATCAAGAGAACTTTAGCTCGGTATTTACAAATATATTAAATAAGAAACTATTTCTCATTTTAAAAATTACCAGAATAACCTATCATCCTCTTTTTTTTAACAGTAACATCTTTTTTTTTTTTTTTAAATAGAGGCATGTTTTATTTATTTATTTATTTGTTTGTTTGTTTTATTTATACATACACTGGGTACAGTCAGAAGCGCGGGAGGGTGAGAGAATTCACCAGAGCTAGAGCAGGGAGCAGAGCAGGCAGAAGGACCGAAGTACACTGCTGAGGGGAGCAGCGGGCGGCAGGAGAGGTCTGCGCGCCATGTGGGACCCTCCTCTGGTGGCCGGGGAGCAGCCGGGGATCGAACCGGCGCCGCAGAGGCCGCGAGCAGCTTCGCAACCCAGTGCTCAACCGCTGCGCCACCGGGGAGGCCCTTAACAGTAACATCTTAACAGTAGTGGTGTGTGTGTGTGTGTGTGTGTATATGTGTGTGTGGGCATGTGTGATATATGTGTATGCGTGCGTGTGTGTATGTGTATGTGTGTGTGTGTTATTACCTGACCCAAATGATCTGGATTTCTATAAAGTGACTCATTTTTCTCCGGGTATGTTAACATTTTTAGTAACTGACAAGTGTGACTACTTAGATCTGAAATACTGCAAATAGAATTAACACAAGATTTCTCATTAGTAGGTTCTCCTACCCTCTAACAATGTTTTCCATTGTACTCTTTCAGAGCCAGCATTGTAGAGTTCATTAAAATTGTGAAGTTAAAAAGTAAAAGCATCATCCTACTAAATGTTATTCTTCTAAAAACCTCCCTCCTTCCATACACCCCTGCCTCAGTTGTCTCCCTTCCTTAATCTTTGTACTTGTTTTGAATGTCTCTGGGAACTTTTTTGTATCTCACAGGTTTTGTACAAAGAAAATTTGGGGAAAGGAACCCCAACACCTATCACTCCAGAGATGGAGAGAGTCAAACGCAATCAAGAGAACGTTAGCTCGGTATTTCCTACGGGGCAAAAAATAAAATCCTTTAACTCTTTAAAATTAATTCTTTAAAATCCTTTAATTCTTATTTAAAATACTATATTTAACACATTATAAACATGATTTTTCCTTCCTGTAAAATTACTAAATACATATAATGAAATAATGATACCAAATATTACCTCATTGTTCACCCAAATCTAATTTAATATTTATTTTAGTTATGGTGTGAAATTTTAACTGTTTTTCCTTAAAACATAGCTATTGATCACTTTCCTTAAAAGCCTGTAATGCTCAGTGTTTCCCTTCTCCAATCCTTCTTTAATAACAATCAATTTTCTAATAGTGTGTCCAAGTCAACAGTTAAGTCTAACACCCCTTCAAAAACACAATGTTCATTTTACTTGTATTTTGTATGTCTCTGTTTGATATATTTTTTGTGTTTGTAGCTTTTCCTAAAAGAATGTGATTTTTTTAAGATATTTTCACTCAAGAGAAAACATAGCAATTCATAGTAACTCAGACTTATTTGGCTCAGTTCAGTTTACTTGCTCAGCTATTTTTTTGTATATGATGGAAGATGTACATGAACTTTTAAATATTTTCAAAATCATTGAAAGTTAATATTTATCTTGCTTTTTGATATTTATATTTCTTTTGTTCCCCCAGATCTTCTCTTCTCTCTCTCTCTCTCTCTCTCTCTCTCTCTCTCTCTCTCCCTTTCCCCTCTCTCCCCCCCACCCCCTTGATTTAGTGTTACCAAGAACTCCTTATGGGCATTAATTTCAATTAACTTGAGCACTATTTGACAAGGCCTGGTATACTCTGCTAGAAGGTCATTGTCAGTGACTCCTGCCTATAGCCAGGCAGCTGCGTACATAGCAATACCACTCAGAGACAGACTTCAGACTGGGTGCCAATAAATGCCCAGAGGTGGTCTATTTCTGGAAGTTACTTTAGCATATTTTATAGTATTATGAAAATAAACAGAAATACTGCTAGAGACAATTTTACAGGCAGGTTAAGTTTACCTAAAAGATGGGCCGAGGCTGATCTGCTTGTTGGTTTTGTGTGCACACAGATTTTGTACAAAGAGAACTTGAGCAAGGGGACTCCCCTGCCTGTCACTCCTGAGATGGAGCGAGTCAAACGCAATCAAGAAAATTTAAGCTCGGTATTTGGAAGAAAGTTCCTTTAATGCCATAATAATAATAATAATAATAATAATAATAATGTCTACAAAACAAAACTCACTATCAGTCCCTTGAAAATAATTTAACACGTTCTTTTTTAAATCTCATCAACTGAATACGTCTGTTTTCCAGACCCTTTACTTACCATTTTAATTCTAACATTTTATACTTTGTGTAATGGTCACTGGAAACTTTTTATTGGTTCTTTTCCTCCTCTTTTCACCTTTCTTGTAACTGCTGGGACTTTTAGAAATAATTGATATCCCCCCCCCAAAAAAAAATAAAAACCCCAAACACTGATGCTCTTATTTCCTTGAAACCCCTTTTGCTCACTGTTTCTGAATTAATATTGCAAGAAAAGATACTGAACTTGAATCCACAGGTAGAAATAGTGGCTCTTGCTTGGACACAGTGGTGATCTTAATATAGATCCTGTCTGAATAGACAGCAGCACAGAGAAAGAAAAGTGCTCAGTGGCAAGACCCAAAGCAGTCTTTTGACACTGTCCTGGGCAAGCCATTCTGTGAATAGAAATCCAGACCTTCTGATTTTTTTGTTAATATAAAAATTTGGATAATGAGTTTATATTTAATGTTATTTTCTTTTATTGACATTGTTGCTGAAAATCTCTATAATACTTAAATATTAAGTATTACTTAAATGCACTTAATATGAGACTTTCATATATAAAGATCTTAGATTCCCTTATGCCTGAGACAGAGAATCAAATGTCATAGGAAAATTGGGTTGGAGGGAAGTTTGATCCAAAATGCTTTCTGTCAGTTAAAATATTTTCTGAAAGTTTCATTCTTTCACATAGTTAGATCAGTAACTTTCTTTGGTCCCACTGTCATTTTGTTTTTTATATTTTGTTTTTAATTACTATTTACTAACAACCTTTCGGTTTTATTAAATCTTTAATGTAAATTATTATGTCTTTTGGAATGTTGTTTTCCCTGTGGATTTGTTGTTGTTATTATTATTCCTTCTTGTCCAAAGATTTTCAAAATTATTTGTTAATTCTTTTCCTATCTTAGAGTGTATTGTTTTTCATAGTTTTGGGGACTAATGATCTTAGCAGTCCTGGACAGTTTTCTAAGTACCCATTTGTGTTAATTTTCACTCAGTTTGCATTTAGGCAAATTGTCCAGGTGTGCATAGAGCCTTTAAGGTACTATGAGAAATAAGAAATGCTCTGGATTAAAACACTGGCTTTTAGCCTTGACCACTTTTACAACTTAAATTTACTGAGTAAATATCGATTTTGTTATGTTGCATGGGCTTGGCCCATATCTTATATCTCTTATTCTATAAAACAGATGTTAGGTGCAGGAGAAATAAATATTTTCCAATCTAATTCAAAAATAATATTTTCCTGTACATTATGCATTTTGGTTGTCTTATTAAATTATTTCTATTATTTCCCTTAATTCCTGAAACAGAAAACAAGCATGTAATGTATGGTTTAGGATACAAGTTGAATATCAGTTATATTGGTCATACAGTTACATTGTTCTCATACAGATCTGTGCTAGGAAAGACAGGCTGACTTGGTGAATGTGTCCGTCCTGTTCAATGTCTTTAGTCTCATCCTGGACTCTCTGACGGAGAGACAAAGGGCTGTTTTGACTGCTCTTGTTTTTTTCTGGATGCTCTCTCGTGTCATACAGGTGTTGTATAAAGAAAGCCTCGGGAAAGGGATCTCGATTCCCATCACTCCAGAGATGGAGAGAGTCAAACAGAATCAAGAAAACTTTAGTTCGGTATTGAAAAGAAAAAAAATCCCTTTACCTTTAAAATGTTTAAAAAAGATTAATGGCTCTCCTTTAAGATCTAATCAACTTATGTCAATAAAACTTTGACATGTCTTGTTTGCAACGTAATGCTGCCATTCCTATGAATCAGTTCCCCCATTTTAGTTAAACATTAATATAATAATTTAACTTAAAAAAAGTAGTCAGTCATATATTCCAGCTTTAAAATCCTAACCGTCTAGTGTCTAAACTCCTACATTCATCCTGCTTTGGCAAATCTGATCTGAACATAAAGCTTACAAAACTGTTCTGCAGCACTCACACTTTGCCTCATTTCCTAATCTAATCTTTTCTGTGGCCACTGGTATTTGTACAGGAATTTTGAGGTTTCTTTTTTTTAGTATTTTATCATTGCTGTCCATTTTCCTCAAAATTAACTTTTCCCAATAGGTTTGCCCAAACTAAAAATTATATACTACCTTTAAAATAGTTCTTTTGAAAGTCAATGAAAGAGTTGTATGTACATATATATATATATATATATATATATAATATATATATATCATATGTGCAATTTTCTAAAACCCAAACATCTCTTTGTGGATTATTAACATTTTCAAATCGAAAATAACTTCCTTGGGTCTCCCTCTGTCTCTTGCCCTTATTTCCCCCTTCTCATAACAAGCGGGGGGGCGAATTGTTCCCTTTCCTGGTGCTCTCCGTTGCTCAGCACTGCAGTTCAAACAACAAAAATAACAAAACTTTCCTTTCCTATCTCTTAGTTTCTGCTACTCCCTCCTGCATTCCTTGCTTTGAAGGATGTCAGGCTCACACAGGTTGGATCTAGACGCTTGTAGCATTTTCCTTCCTCTAACTCATTCTCTCCCTCTTTGCCCTATTCCCCAATGCACCACCAGAGGGAAGGTAGTTGATGGTTTTTTCTTCTGGATGCTTTCTTATCACACAGGTGCTATACAAAGAAAATCTGGGGACAGGAATTCCAGTTGCCATCACTCCTGAGATGCTGAGAGTCAAACACAATCAAGAAAACCTTAGCTCGGTATTTTGCAAAGAAAGGGAAAAGAAAATGCCACTTAACCTTATAATTAAATCAATACTTAGTGTTTATTCTTTTTTGAAAATCCACTTCCCTTCCTTTGCTTCTAATATGCCTCACTTACCAAAAGCACATACTTTCACATTTCTGTGACAGTACTATGGATTCTATTTTTATCTCAGTTAATTATGACTTTTGCACCATCTGGTTTAAAAACAAAGTTTTCTTTACATGCTTGTCCTTTAGTTTGCCTGGATAACAACAAAAAACGAGTTCTAACAATCCCAAATCCCAGTGTGATTGTTTAGGAGGCCCAGGGTTCCTAGAAATGAAAACAATCCCAAGGGGAACCTCCAGTCTTTCCCAGCAGCTGAGTCCCGGCTGCCCTAGGGCAGTCCCCCTGAGAGTGGCTGCCTTAAAGTAGCTTCTGGTGTCTTGTCAGCATGTAACTCTTGGCTCCTCGGACTACTGTGTCATTATTTCATAACAAGGAAGTTTAACTCACCGTTAAAAATCTCACAAATATTGAAATGTTGCTTACATGTGTTTTTCTGGGTGCTTTCTCACCATACAGGTATTATACAAAGAAAACATGGGCAAGGGAACTCCTTTACCTGTCACTCCAGAGATGGAGAGAGTCAAACACAATCAAGAAAATATTAGCTCGGTACTTTGGCAAGAAAACAAAAACTACTTCTTTAATGATTTAAAATAATACATATTAATCCTGTTTTCTAAAGACAGCTTAAGTTTTTGTGAATTTATCACATTTATCCTTCTTTCCCATAGGGCTACTCCTACCTTTAACTCCATAATAACAAGATCGCTTTAATCCGTAATTTAAAGTTCTAATAACAGGAAGCAAAGGATTTTCCAATAAAGCACTGGATGTTTTGCTCATCTCTCCCCAAACTTACTCCCTCTCTACTGCCCGCACTAGGTCTCTTTGTTTGGCACTCTCCTGAAACCCGGGGCTGGCATAGTTGGCGTAATGAAGCTCCTTCAGGCACATTGGAGTTGGGATTTTATTGTGTTTTTGCGCCTGTGGTTTCAGGTTCTAACTTACCGAGTCAGATTTGGACAAAGAGAACTTGGGAAAAATAACTCTGATCTGTTCTTTTGAGGATAATGACAAAATTTAGATCCAGTAGTGGTTTTGGTAAATGATTATCAATTTACTTGACAAAACATCACTCAAACTTTTTTCAATATTAGTTCTTTTTTGTTCTTTTGTCTTTATCATGGACTTAAGCTGCTGAGTTTGGAGATAGTTTCCCTAAAGACTATGATATATATAAATTCCCAGAGGTCTGGAGTTGGGGGAAGATGTGAGTTCACATAATGAGGAACTTTGGCAGTCCACTTATACACAGGCTGCAGGCATCTCTAATACTTGAGTACAAGAGGGCTTCTGAATGCTAGTGTGCCTCAGAGAAATTGCAGGGCTTATTAAGCCTTACAGGGTCCTAACCCCCATGTTTCATGCTGTAGGTCTGGTGTGGTGTCAAAAAGTGTACATTCAACCTTTTCTCAGGTGATGCCAACCATGCCATCTAATGATCCCACTTTAGAACTGCTGCTTAAACAGAATTCTTCCTCACAAAAGCAACTTCCCAAATGCCCCACATCCCCAAAAATGACACTGAGGGAAGACATCAAGATTCAGGATTTATTATGATGTGTTACAATATGTCCTGTGGGTTTATCATAAGATAGTAACATTGCTGAAAAGTATGATTTTGATAACCTACTGAAAAGTATGATTTTACTGAAAAGTATGATTTTGTTAATCTAAAGCAAGAGACAGAGCAGATGGTAACAGGGAAAATAAGATGAGAAATCTTTTCCTTATTTTACTGATGTGCCTCTGTGAGCTTAAGTGTTGCAGAGAGGTCCAGAACCCCTAGTATCTAGGGAACCACCTCAGCCTTATCGCTGTTATTCAAGCTCAGGCCCTGACTTTCTGTTTAGATGAGCAGGCACGGGCTTGAAATTCATAGACTAGTGGTAGAATGAACGTGGTCTGTCAGTCTTTAGGGGCAGTTTTGTTTTGCAGTCTGCAAAGATTTGGGGACAGGGCCCTACCCTGGAAATGTGTCCTTGCTGTAACTCCTTGCTGTAACGCCATTCAACTGTGCCCTTGCTGTCAACTCTATTCTCCTTTGGAAACATCTTTCTTCCTCTCTAACCTTACTGCTCAATTGGTTTGGCCTCCTGTGCCTCATAACAAATGATCTGTTTCATCTCAATCTTTTGGTAACTGCAGTTCTTCTTTTCTTTTTGAATTTTTGGATCCATGGGACTCATGTAGGTTTTGTACAAAGAAAATATGGGGAAGGCCACCCCAACCCCCACCACTCCAGAGATGCAGAGAGTCAAACGCAATCAAGAGAACATTAGCTCGGTATTGTCTTGAAAAACAGAAATGCTTTTAATTGTGCAAAGTAATCCCTGCAGTTTGTCTTGCTCCTAACTCTATCCCAGGCAAAACATAAACAAAATGCCAGATATCTGGAAACTCCTCTAAATGTCATACTGCACTCACCACTGCTTTTGTTTTTTAAGTTTTCTTCTTGAGAGCTAGTTTCACTAATAGTAATAGATTAAACCTAGAGCTTTCTCCCCCAAATTGCATTTATATTTAATAGCCTGAAATGCTGCCTCCTCATGACTTTCCGGTCCAACTTTGTATCTCACAGGTTTTATACAAAGAGAACCTGGGGAAAGCAACCCCCACACCCTTTACTCCTGAGATGGAACGAGTCAAACGCAATCAAGAAAACTTTAGCTCGGTATTTCAAACAGCGAAAAGAAATCACTAAACTTTTAACAAGCCTGGTCATCATGTTTAAGCCACTAATTTGCCTCACAGTTTCCCCCAAACTTATGTTTATCTTTTAAAATTCTTTGAAAAACCCACTTCAAAACAACGAACCAACCCCACAAGCTCAATTTACTTCTTTGTTCATCTTTTGCTTCATACAATAACATGTCCATGGCTGTCTCTCCTGAGGTGTTTCTTATAGTGTGTGATGCAATTGAGCCATAACACCAGCTAGATGATGGCTTTTCCGAACTGGGTTTCTGTTCTCTGATATCTGGATGCTTTCTTGGCTCCTCTAGGTGTTGTACAAAGAGAATATGCGAAAAGCAACTCCGACACCTATCACTCCAGAGATGGAGAGAGCTAAGCGCAACCAAGAAAACATTAGCTCGGTATTTTCTAGGATGAAAAAGAATAGTGCAACAACTTAGAAAATAACATTTTAACCTTATAAAAACGTGCCTTTCTCATTCGACTGAAATACACACTAAAAATGAAAACAAATGCAACATCTTGGAAAAATAACATTTTAACATCAAAAAAAAATGTGCACTTTTTATTCAACTGGAAATTTACACTAAAATTAACACCACTGTGTTTTTAAATTCCAAATGATCATACTAAGGCATAACATGTTAATGGCCAATGTTTTCCCCCCCTTTTACTTGACTCAGAGGTAGTCTTACATAACCAACTGTAACAAATTGACTTTCTAACCTCCTCAGTCTTCTGCTTTTCTTTATTTTAAGGTACTCTATAAAACAGGTAATATTCTGAAAGGGATACCTTCTTTGGCTTTGATATTTTGGGGTTTTCCTGTTTGAAGGATTTTAATTTCTGTATTAGAATGTTGCTCTATAAATCTAGACACCTAAGAAAATAACTTGTTTTAAAGGGTAGTTCTTTTGAATATCAGCATTTAGTGCCAAATACCATTGAATATCATGCCGTTGGTGCTACAATTCTTAGCAAATTCAGCAAACCATTTCCTCCCCTTTCCTTTCTCTGCTTCGAAAATGAAAATTACATTTTCAAAGTCCAAATAAATTTATTCTCTCCCGATAATTTCCCAGCCCGGCCTCATGCCAACCTGTTCCATTGTTAATCACGGGTCTTGCTGAGTTCTTTCAGTGAGCTTAAGTTTCCCTCACCAATTCCTTCATCTCCATCTAGTGACAAGGTTTGAGGCCTCAGAATAAGGATGGCATCATGACTCATTCATGGTCTTTCCTCCATCAGGTTCTTTACTCTGATAGCTTCCGGAAACAAATACAAGGCAAAGCTGCCTATGTCTTAGACACCCCAGAAATGAGACGAGTAAGGGAGACCCAGCGCAACATCTCCGCAGTAAGTCAGGAATGCTTTAGGATTGGTTAACCACCCAATGGGACATTTTAAAAAGGAAGTGATCACAGCATTATCTTTTCACAAAATCAATTCATGAAATTACAGGTTAAGTATCATGAAGACTTTGAGAAACATAAGGGTTGCTTCACACCAGTGGTGACGGACCCTATCACTGAACGAGTAAAGAAGAACACACAGGACTTCAGTGACATTAACTACCGAGGCATTCAGAGAAAAGTGGTAGAAATTGGACAAAAACGGAATGACCAGGATCAGGAGACTGTTACAGGTAATTGAGTCTGGAGGTAGGGAGAAGTCATCAAATTTAAGTTAAGGGGAATAGAAGAATTAAAAGTGACATTATCTATACCCTACACTGAGGCAAAGGATAAAGGACTTCAGTCTGTGTTTTCATTAAGCATAAAAGAAAAACCATATTCATAGTTTTCAAAGTTGATGCCTCTTCCACCTCTAAGGGGAAGGCATGGCTAGAACCTAAGCTGAATCAGTGTGACTCCATTCTCCTGTGGTTGTTTAAGTTCATGCTTTTATTTCCAAATTACTGGAAGAATCAAGAACATCTATTCTGATCCTTACTCTCACTTCCAGGTCTACGAGTCTGGCGTACTAATCCTGGCTCCGTTTTTGACTATGATCCGGCAGAAGACAACATTCAATCCCGAAGCTTACACAAGATTAATGGTATTTTATGCCCCAAAAGGCTTATGGCATAAATGTTACCATTGAATGGGCTGCAGTCAATGACTTTTAGGCTCTGAATTTCCATCCCTCCAAAAGGTTTTCAATTTTCTGAGTTGCCCATTCGTCATAAAAGCACCTTGTTGTCTAATGGACCAAACTCATTTTATAGACAAACTCAAGTTAAGGAAAGATTGTTTCACCAAACAGGCCACACACCTTCATGCCCTTCTATTCAACTAAAATGTAGACTATTTTGCAGACAGTGCTCAAAAGATTTATCCTGTAGTCTGCTTACATGAGAGGTTAGTAGATCACCTTTTAAACCCAACCACATGCAGTTTTAAAGGCCTATGTAGAAACACAAAGAAAGGGCATCTGAATGAATTTGGAAGTTAGGGACAACGTTCTGGAAAAGTTGGCGGTGAATATAATATCTATTCACTTTGGTGAGCCAGGAGAAGGGGCAGAGTGGAGGGGAGAAATGGTGCAGGACGGACTCTGGGGTTTGTGCTACTTAGCTGTTAGGTGTCTTTTGGTGATTTACTTAAGCCCTCATCTGGAAAATTAGAATGACAGCCACACATTATAAGAGTTTTGAGGGTTTAATCCAAGGAAATCTACCTAAAGCTACGCTTGGCAGTGAAATGACGGCCACTGAGGTCCAGCTACTCTTGGGCACCACCAGGACAGGTGCTTCATCTCCGCTCCCTCTGCATCTCCTCTCTGCAGTCCAAGCCCAGCGACGCAGCCGAGAGCAGTCGCGGTCCGCCAGCGCGTTGAGCATCAGTGGTGGTGAGGAGAAGTCTGAGCACTCCGACGCCGCCGACCTCCACCTCTCCACCTACAGCGAAGGAGGCGTCTTCTTCTCCGCTACCTCAGCAGGTACAGGTGGCGGGTGCGGGCTTGACCAGCCTGGGTCTGCTAACCAACTAATGGTTATGTTAAGAGATGCTTTGAATAAAATAAAAAAGAAATCTGGATTCTTTCTCCTTATGAGAAAGTACTGGATTTGTGGGCTAAATGTAGATTAAATGAGTCTAGCCACATTTTCTTTTTCTGAACCATTTGCCCCTCCTTTCAGCTTACAAACATGCAAAGACCACAGAGCTCCCACAGCAACGATCGTCTTCAGTTGCCACCCAACAGACGACAGTATCCTCTATCCCATCTCATCCTTCTACTGCTGGAGTGAGTAAATAGTGAAGAACTAACTCAAATAATTCTGATTTTTTGATATCGAAAATTATATATCAAAAATGATCATAAGTAGTCGGGTCTTTTTTTTTTCAACCAAGCCTTCTAGTTTATGTAATACTCATGTATTATGTAACATCTGTGTTAATAGTAATATCAGAATACCTTGATTACTAAACAATGACAGAGCATATTCAATTATTTAAAACAAGCAAAGCAAATGATCAGTTTGGGCATATTGATCCCTCCAGTTTATGGAATTTCTAATTTCTCCACATCTTCCCCGTGTTGATTATCATCACAGTGTGTGTGAAGTGGTATTTCATTGTGGTTTTGATTTGCATTTCCTCCATGAGTAATAATATTTAGCATATTTTCATGTGCATATGGGATTTGTATATATTTGAATAATTCAGATCTTTTATTATTTCCCTCCCATTTTTTTCAGTATTGAGTTGTAGGAATTCTTTATATATATTGGATAGCAATCTCCTATCAGAGATATAATTTGCAAATGTTTACTTATTTTGTGGGTTGCCTTTTTACTTTCTCACTGATGGTTTCAGATTGTCTTTGATGCAATTTAAAGTTTGTGGAGTAAGTCATGAGAGACCTTAAAATTATGTCTTTGGGTTAATTGCTGCAAATCTAATATATGTTTTTTCCTTTTATCTGTTCTCATGAAAAGAAAATCTTCCGTGCCATGTATGACTACATGGCTGCTGATGCAGATGAGGTGTCCTTCAGAGATGGAGATGCTATTGTCAATGTTCAAGCTATTGATGAAGGTTGGATGTATGGCACTGTACAGAGGACTGGCAGGACCGGCATGCTCCCAGCCAACTATGTTGAAGCTATTTAAGCGGTTCTAAGTATCATGCCTGTTTGTAGGGTCTATGACTCCTGCAGTATTTCAGTATAGACTCTTAACTATTACCCAATTCTCAAACTGCCTAGTGGTCTTTCTGCATCAATATGCTCATATTTATAACATTCTGTAATTTGTTTCTATCTGAATCCCAACAATTCTCCAGGAAAACGAATGTTAGTATTGCTATTCTACCCAATTATCGAGTTGGATTTACTTTCTCGTTATTTTCTGGACTTGCACATAAAACTTAGGAGACATTAAACCTATGAAAGTTCATTATTTTAAAATTGTCATTAACAACTTTTCCTTTGAGTTTTAAAATCAGTGAAATTTCTGAAGATTTTTACTGAGAATATTTCTTTATTGTGAAAATATTTAACATTAATTCTCACCTAAAACAAGGATTCTGAACATGTGAAACACATTAAAAGAGAAATAGCAAGGATACTTGTTCATGTTTTCCTTGCTTTCTAACTGCTGATGCTTTTATTTCTAATTCAGTTCTGAAGTTATAAAGCTGATAGTCAATATAAACTGGTGATGTTAGTAGGTAATAAAACTATAAATCTGCAACAAACACCACTGATGGAATGATCATTATTTATCAATAGTTTTAAGATCTACAAATAAAACAAATTTCAATAAATCCCTTACACTAGGCTTCAGGATGTGGCAAAGATGTTAAGAGGAGGTACAAGCCAAAAAAATATGAGGTGCAAGACAAAAAGGCTTAATGCTTAAGTTTACAGCATATTCTTCCCAAAAAAGCACAAGATCTGCCCATGTTCATGTAGAACTATAATAACACTGCTGTCCTCAAACTTCTTAGACATGTGTCTCTCTCTCTGCGAATTGCTATGGACAGAGCATGCACACTTGCAAATGTGCAGAGACCACACCTGCATGTTAGGTGCCATGCTAGATGCTGGGGTTCAAGTAATGAACAAGGCAATTGATGTTCTTATGACATTCACCATCCCAAGAAAAAGGCAGACTGTACCTAAGCATGGTTTTTAAACTTCCTATTCTTTCTGAGGCTACATGTTGGGCAAATCACTTTCTTTATGATGACATTAATGACAATGAATGCTTGGATTAAATAAGAAAAGCTAACACCTTTAACAAGATGTCTATGATATTGGAACTAAGGTTCTTCATTTGACCATTTTGTCTTCCTTTGTATCCATGGAGTCATCTGCATGCAGCTAGGGATGGGGAAGGAGAAAACAGAATGAGGTATGGAAGATTTTATTAGCATACTTCTCTTCTGTCCCCATTCAGGTGGCTAGAATTCCATTATGCACCCAACTGCAATGCAGACCAGTTAATGTAATCTCATTGTGCGATGCAAAGTGAAAATGTGGAGAAGATTTGGTGATTCTGCTACAGTTTTATTCCTTTATTCTTCTATTTTACCTCCTAAAATTCAGGGGTGTTTTAATTTTTTCATTTATTAGTACTGCTGAGCTAATGCTGGTTACTTTTGAGGGTCTAAAGTAGTTAAATATTTCTTACACATGATAACACTTTTTGTGTACTTGGTTCTAATGCAAAGTTTACATCAAAACCTTTTGAAAGTTAGAGTGAAATGTTGGCAAAGGTAAGGTAAAATAAGTACTCTCATTCCCGAGAAAATAAATTTGTACCGTCCTTCAGTACTTGATATAGTCATACTATTTTTGGCAAATTACCTGAGGAAATGCTTCGAAATACAGATAAAATCTTTATGTGTGAAAAGTTTCACCAGCACTTTCTCTATAGTAACAAATATTGGAAACAATCTAAATGAAAACCCCAGGGAATGATTAAATAAATTTCACCATATACATAAATGAGATGTAGCAATTAGAGAGTCAGATGGTGAATGAAGGGCAGAGGAACGACTGAAAGGTCCCAGGGAGACCGGAAGGGCCCCTAGAATCCAAGCACGGAGCAACAGCAGAGCGCGCTGCCTGTTGGTGACGGTGACGCTGGCACAGCGGGCAATGATAATGACCGTGGGGGGAGAGGTAAGAACCCTGGATGGCAGCAAAGCAGGCAGGAGGGCAAAGCCATCTCCCAGACTCTCAGGCTGAGCTGTTTCCACCCTGTACTGTCGGGGCACCTGCCGCCTGAAGGTGTAGCTCCTTACCCTGCAGGCAGATAGAGAAGATTTAAGAATGGACTCACGGACTTTGCATCTCCCCAGGGCTTTGCCTTCCTCCAGCATCAGCATGTGTTTAGGTTGAGACTAGGTGGAATGGATCCCTCCTCCACCCATTCTATTATTATCAGGGAGGAGGGGCTGGGTTTGTTGAGTCATCTGTGGTTACTGCTAAATGAGCAAGATTTCAAATCCGGGTAGACTCTTTCTGCCGTGTTAGTGGCTTCCTGGAATTTTCATTGACACTATTTTCGGAGAAGATGTGGGATATATGCCTCCGTTTGAGTTTGAGTTTAAAAACTGTCGGGCTGTAGCTGGCCTAGCGGGTGGGCGTGGCACCGAGAGCACTTTCAGGTGTGCCCCGCCCGCGCTCCCAAACCTGCCGGCGCACCTGCGCAGCCCCTCCGACTGCGCGTGCGTGCGTGCCGAACTGCCTCCTCTCTGGAGCCCGCTGGCTTCCCTGCAACTTGGAGTGGAGTTGGTGCCCTGGGGCAACCTGGTCTCTTCTAGACCCATCAAGAAGGCACCATCTGTATTTCGCCCTGGGGACCTCCTTGGACCACGGGAGGAGGTGAGCCAAAGGTGAGGGGAAGGTGAGAACATCTCCTTGTGGGTGGCTGACTGCGGAGGGGTGCAGTGGGAGGACCCAGAGCTGGAAAGGCCGACTGTGGAAAACGGGGGGGAGGGGAGTTGGGTTCATTATGGGCTTGAAGGAACTTGGGGGCCTGGATTTATTCCTGAGCATGACCCCTCCAAGTCCAGCCTCCATTTCCTGAAGAGTGCGTCCTGTGCTTTCTGCTCCTGCCCCCTGCCTGGTCAATTGATGGCACCTGGTGTGGGGTTTCTGGACTCTGTTCTGTTCCATTGATCTGTGTGTCGTTATTACAATGGGTTTATAATACAGTTTGAGAACCATACTCTACAATTTTCTGGAGCTGACATCCTCTCTTCCCTGGCCCCAGGTCTAGCAGGCAGGAGGGCAAAGCCATCTCCCAGACTCTCAGGCTGAACTGTTTCCACCCTGTACTGTCCGGGGCACCTGCCACCTGAAGATGTAGCCCATTACCCTGCAGGCAGATAGAGAAGATTTAAGGATGGGCTCTCGGCCTTTGCATCTCCCCAGGGCTTTGCCTTCCTCCAGCATCAGCATGTGTTTATGTTGGGACTGGGTGCAATGGAATCCCTCCTCCAGAATAATTGCATTCTTAACAGCAATGACTCACTCTTCCTATCCATAGAAACGAAATTCAAACTCTCATCTCTAGGAATAGTTCTCACAGAGTAAGATCTATCAGGCTGTTTCCTGGGTTCAAATCCTCTTTTAGTTATTTAATTAACCCTACTCGAGACTTGTGTCCAGTTACCAGTTTGAAGTCAAAGTCAGGGAAGAAGATGTCTCCAGCTTCACTCAAGAGTGTTTTTGTTCTTCCTGGTCCTTTGTGCCCCACACACATTTCAGGATGGTTAGTAGTTTCTGTGAAAAATGCCATCGGAATTTTGATCAGGATTGCACTGAATCTGTACTGCACAAAATGTCTTTCCATTTATGTGTTTTCAGTTTCTTTCAACAGTATTTTATTTTTCCCCATATTTTTGTTTTTTCAACAGTATTTTATAGTTTTTCATTGTGCAGTTTTTCTTCTCCATTAAATGTATTCCCAGTATTCTTTTAGATGCAATTGTACATGGAGCTGTTTTCCTAATGACTCTGATGGGTTATTATTAGGATATAGTCATGCAACTGAGTTTTGTGTATTAATTTTGTATTCTGTAACTTATTCATCTTTTCTAATTTTTTTCTTTATTGGTGGAGTGGTATGGTATTTGGAATTTAGAAATTCCTACTATTTCTACAACATCCTGGGTCATCTGCAACACCCAAAACATATACTCTCTACTAATAGAATCTCCTCCAAGGACACTTCACTCCAGGACATTGGATGAATTGGATCTGGTCAGGGCTTGCACTCCATACTGATTTTCAATTTCTGTTTTCTGAAGAGTCACTTGAAAAGTTACTTACTTTCCAGTTATCTCAAATGCACAAAAAACTTTAATAGCAGAACAAATTCTGTTTATTTCTATACAGAGATTCCCAGCATCATTGCTTTATTGCATATTGGACTTAACATGAAACATTCCATTGTGTATTTAACCAAAAAATTCCAGGGAGCCACCGCATAACCCCAAAGATTAAATCATAGTAGTTTCCATGATAAAGTCCAACCCATGGGCCATTTCAGCTTTCATCACCTGTCTCACCTGTGTGAAAATGTTCTATTTCATTCAGACCCATTTTGCTTTTCCCAGAAGTGTTCCTGAATCTTTCCTCCCTGTCACAGCCTTGGGGGATTTAAAGCACACAGCTGACTCCGGTCTGGGTTATCTTCTGTGTGTGGCCTCTTTCACTTCGGAGGTTTTCATGATTATGTGTTTGGTTTTTGCTGCCTGTATATTCCGTTTGCTTAAAGGTCAGCTTAAAAGTAGATGTGTTTCCTCACACTTGGAGCTAATTTCTTTAACTGGCTTTAAATCACGGGAAAAATGAAATTATGTTTTGATTTTTGATGCTGCATATAATACAACCATGAGAAAAACAGGCCAGTATTTCTGTTTTATTTCTTAATTTTATTTCCATATCTTTTCCACTGGCCTTATTGATATTGTACTAGAAAGACTCTCAAACCTCAGAGCTTGCACTTGAGGTTCTCTCTGCTTGAAATGCCTGTTCTCTCACTTACCAAAAAAAGAGTCCTAGGGCAAGTAAGGGTTAATTAGGCACCTCAGGGACAGTGCAGGCAGGGAATTTGGGGAAGTTAAAAAAGCTTCTGAGTGGGCCTCCAGTGGCTCAAGGGGTTAAGGTGCAACTGATGAAGCTAACCGCAGCCAGTGCAGCATGAGTTCCATCCCCTGCCGGGGAGCTACCCACATGGCGCAGCAGACCTCACCTGCCTTGCCCGCTGCTCCCCTCAGCAGTGTATTTCAGTCAGTCTGCCTGTTCTGCTCCCCGCTCTGTTTCT